GTATCATTGAGAAAGAGGATGTGGAGAAACTTGTCAAATGTAAGAATTTTTTTCAAGGTCATAATGATATCAGTGACTTTTTTAAAGGTGTAAAAAGATCGAAGCAAGTCTTGGGATGCATTCGGCAGCACTCGACGGAATGCAGAGTGAAATGCAAGAGATATGGCAGGAGCAACTGGATCGAGTCCGAAGGCAACAAATCATTTATCGAGAAAAAGTTGAGGAGATTCTGAATCTTCGGGAAACGGCTAGGCAGATATTGACAGCCGCCAAGCAAATGGTACCCTATGTATCGTGTATTTTGAATATGAACGCAATGATTGCTCCAAAGTGAGTTCCTTTTTTTAACAGATGGATAATCGACAAATTCGTTTTTCAGACGTTGCCACCCTCCTGATCCAGCACCAATGGAAAGTATATGTTTGGAGATTACTGGAATCGAACCGAACAGTCAGAATCGTATAATGGCAATTGAAAAAGAAGAAGAAAACAGAAGATTGAATCAGGAAGCAAAGAAAAAAGAAGAATTGGCTGGTCAAAGTGCAGCTATGAAATCATTGAAACATGGAAAAACGAAAAGAAAGGAGATGCATCATCGGATGATGTTGAATACAAATAGAGAGAGGAGTCCAGGTGGAACAGACTCTGCATTGACCAGTCCGTGTATAAGACGATTGTGAGTTGATTTATTATATTTTGATTCAATACGCATTTTATTCGATTTTCAGGACATCAACTGCTTTGAAAGAAGAGACCGCTTCTGAATTAGACGCCGAGGAAATTTTGGATGAGATTTTCGAACTTAGCGGGGAGCAATACGAAGAAGTGGTTGATGGAACTCTGACTGAAGAAGACCGATGTAGTTCTGCCCTTCTTCTTTCTTTGGAACTCCAGAATGAATCGGTTTCTCCGTTGCCATCTCTGGAACAACTTCTTGGAAGAATCTCTCTTGCATCTCGAGTCACTTCTGATATTGGATTCAGTCGTGGAGCGATGCTACAGAGTCTCAACGACGTCTTCGCTTTACAAAAACCCCCAACACCCGAGAATATCAGCGTATCGGAAGAGCGTAACGTATTGGCGTCAGCAGTTCGGAATGCGGAAAAAAGAAAAAGTGGAGCAGGTTTACCGACGACGTCAGAAAAGGAAGAGATGATTGAAAACGACGAAATCATTGTGGAAAAAGAAACGGAAACGGAGAAAAAGAAAGTAATCAGACGGAGAGTGAAAAAAGCGGAATGTGAGCAATCAGAAGAAGATGTCACTACTACATTTACATTCGGTCCACCGCCAGATTGTCCATTTGTGCCTCAGGAAATATTTGATAAATTAGGAGAATCAGATGAAAAGTTAGGAACATTTGAAGCTAAGGAACGAGTGTTACAAAGTTTGAAACAGAAAATGAATCAGAAAAACGGAATAGATAATGATAATTGAGTGATAATAAATTAATTTCGATTCGAGTTATAGGTCATATATCGAAACCGGTTATAATATTATTTCAAATGTACATTATTATTTCCAATAAATCTTTTCTAATAATTTCTTTTTGAGCCGAACCTTTTCATATTCACTCCGCTGCTCAGATGATTGTAAAATTACCGTAAGTCCTGTAATAGAAGGGCCCCTAATGTTTAACATTGAGCCGGTTTATCTCCGTTCCTGTCAAACATCTAAAAAGTTGTCAAGAGATAAATTGCTCATCATAATAACACAAGCATTTTATCAGTTGACAAAATCGTGTTATCTTGCACAGGAGCCAAGAACTAGTAGCTAAAACTTGACAGTGTCGAGGCCCTTCTATTACAGGTTTTACGGTACATGTATTTTAACCGCTACTTATGAAAATGTAACAAAATGTATTCACTTTGTTTACTAATCGAAATCATGTTAAATTTCAAAGTGTCCTACCCATAAAATCAGCGAGCCGCATCTTCTCCGAAATCCCAATGCATTATTCTTCTCCTTGTCGTAAATATGGCTACCTGAATGATAAAAGGCTAATGTTTGTATAGTAAAACAAGATGTTAGGATTGGAGAATTTCGAATTGTGGGTCACAATAAAATGGGCGGAGCTTTCTCTCCGGAACATCACTTCCCCTTTTCACTGTTTTCAAAGTTATGATTCATTTCAAATCTTGCCTCATGATATTGCGACCAAACGCTTCGTTTCCGCTTGTTTCACTTATCCTACTATCCTGTATTCATTCCGTAATAGGATGTCGAGACAAGGAAACCGTGTCGTTTTTTGTGAACGGAGATGTGAAGTTACCACCATCAGCAACCGCTTGCTTTAATTCATGTGCTCTTGGAAACTGTACAGGTTACTATAGTATTTTCAGAAGTTTTGAATAGTTTGAATTTTTAAGGTGTACTATTCCAAGGAGAAAAGTGTATAGTTATGGATAAATCCAATTATTTCGGAATGATTGAGGAGAAAAACTATATTGAAAAGAAATGTGTGAAGAAATCTCCCCATAAACTTCTTGTCCGAGAATGGGATGATAGAATACTTGTGGATAGAAGCCGTTCAGTCCGAAAAGCAGAATCCAAACTGGAATGTTTGAGTTTATGTGCCCAGGAGAAAAGTTTTCCATGTCTTTCTGCAATGTTCTATAGAGAAAGTAAAGATTGTCTTCTGAATTCTGCTTCCAGTACTTCTGCTCCTCTCAAAATGGATACTGGGGGATTCAAGGTTTCTTACATGGAACTACATGGTTTGAAAGGTACGTTGGTATTCAGTTTTTAAAACACTTTCCCTATTCTTACACTTCCTTTCTCACCTAACCTTAATCCGGTCCTTTTTCCGAGTGTGAATGTTGCAGAAGCGGTCCACTGCCTCAATGCGTTTAAAATGATCGCCTACAATGCGATTGAAATCCGTGGAGAATCGAGAATTTACAATGGCTCCGATGGTCTTGGCAAATGTATAGAGCGGTGCAAAGATTGCGATATCGTAATGTACAATGAAGCATTTTCGGAATGCTATTCTGTCTGGTACGATCCTTCTGGACAAGTTCTGGATTTTGTTAACGACGAATATCAAGTTCTGACCAATGCTTGTTCAAACTACAAAAAGAACTGCAATTCAAGAAACGCATTATACGTTTCTTATTACAATCCAGATGAGAAATTAAAAGCAGAATGTCTGGAAAAGTGCACAATGTCCGAGGATTGTCAATATGCATATCAATCGAAAGATCTGAACAGTTGTGTGATATCCAAGAAAAAGAAGTCTCTTCCGATGATTGCCCAAAAGTTATGCATCGATGTGAGTGATCTGAGCGATGGTTCAGCAATACTATTCGATGAAGTTGGAGGATGTAATCAGGAAAAAGGATTTTTCGAACTCAAGGATTTGGAGCTATACGAGTGTATGCAGATGTGTGCAACTCATCCGAAAAGGAGGTGCGGCAAAATTTTCAAGTTTAAGTTTTAAAAATAATTGTTATTTTCAGCTGCGAGTCTATCAGTTACACAAAAAATCGGACCTGTTACCTCCACGATGGCGCAATTGAAACTTTTGATCTAAATTCCGATTGCTCACTTTTTACCCTCAACGTAATTACTTTCGAACAAGAATTTGAGACAAGTATGTCATAATTCAAGACAAAAAATAATTTATATTTTTCAGCTACGTTGCCGCCCGGAGATTCGAAAGTGAAGAAGCCACACAAAGCAAAAACATTCTCCTCCGGTAACAAGAAAGATCAGAAGAAAGTGGAAGAAAGTAGGTAGCAGTTTTTTAGGTTACACAACCATATATTTTTTCAGAAAAACTATTCATCAAGAACTCTCCGACGCCAAGGTCCCTTGAGAGAGTTGGGAGAAATCCAGTTGATGTCAAGATCCAAACTCAATGCAATTTTGGTTTCATCTCGGTGAAAGTCTTACCAGGCAATCCTGCAAATCACGACTTGAATGGTGGAGAGATTTTTGTGAGAAACGGTCACTCCAACTGTTCTGAAAGAATAGGAAAAAGCGGAGAAGCTACGTTGATCATCCATCACAATGACACATCTTGCCCTATTACAAAGAACGGAGATACCTACGAAACTGTAGTTGTTGTGACCCAAAACATTGAAAGTATTGGCAATGCAACTGTGATCACGATCGACGATCAACTTTTCAAAGTTCGTTGTGATTACTCGAATCAGAAGAAAGCAGTTGCAGTGGCAAAAACCATGAATCTGAGGTAAACAAAAAACAAATTTTCAGTAAACAGAAGATTAAGTGATCTCTTCTAGAACAACACAATTCAACAAGTTGGATATTTATGGAAAGGTGAATGTGAAACCGTTGAGCATGGAACTGCGAGGAAAACGAGAAATTGTGAAAGCCCAAACTGTGAGAATCGGACAAAGTCTTGATTTGGTGTTCACTGCGGACAACTCAATCAATGCTCGTCATGTATTCGTGAACAAATGTACTGCGTTGGATCGTGATGAAAATGAGAAAATTGTTTTGATCAAGAAAAGGTGAGTGGCGAAAAGAAAAAGTACAAAATAGCCTCAGTTAGTCAAACCTCAAGGGTGGTTCTAATCAGGGGATCTCAGCTGACACGCATGAAACCATCATGGGCGGGGAAACGAACTCGAGAGTGTCCGCTCGCGAAACGCGCGCGCTCACCTCTAGGCCGCAAGAGACGTCACCGAGAGGGAGAGAAAGGGGCAATAAGAGTGTGCGGGGGGAGGATAGTTGGCAGTGCAGGAAAGGGGGAGGCAGATGTTTTTTTCTTACTTGTAATCCGGGCCTTTTCCGGGCCTTCGCGGGCCCTGGCATAGTTTCTCTTAGAGTCAATATTTTTGGACCAATTAAATTTGATATGATAGAACTGGACGAGTACTACAAAATGATACTATTTGATAAACTGTATCTTGTCTATGAACAAAGTTACAAACAAAAAAAGTACGAAAAAAAGCAGGCCCGTCCCGGGCCGTCCGGGAAAAGCCACTTGATGGCCTGTAACTTTGTTTATAGACAAGATACAGCCCGGATTACAAGTATGGTTTTTTTAACCATTTATTGCTTTATGGACTTTTATTAACCATAATTAACCTCTTTATTTTACAGTTGTGCTACCCAACATGCAAAAGAATACGTATTACGAGGCGAGATTAAGGAGACCGATACTGGTTTTATTCTTCCGTTCCGCGCGTTTAGATTCAAACAAGGTGATGCGGTCAAAATTGAGTGTGAAATGAAGTACTGTGAAAAGTGTAAAAAGGTTGGTTTGAAAACCAAATTGACCTCAAACTAATCGAATTATTTTTTCAGATAAATTGCTCATCTCGGAACAGACGGTTCGCTAGCGAAGAAAATAATGACGAATCAGTTTTGACCGATAGTGAAGCGACGGAAAAAGTTCATGCAGAACTTGTTGTTCAAACTACAGTAACCTCGGAATCTTTGAATGGATACTGTCTTGGAGTTGGCTACTGGATCGCTTTTCTCTCGGGCACCCTTCTTATTATTGCTACCCAATTCATAGTTGTGATTTACCTTTGCTTGAAGAATCGCTTCTCTGTACATAAGCTGATTTGAAATGGGTCAAAACTTAATAAGATTCGTAATAAGTTGTATAAATTTTTTATTCTTCAATTTACACATTGAAAACCTCAGCTGCACAATTAACTTTGGCTGGGAACCAAGTGTTCGTTGGATTTGTGAACTTCAATATGTATTCTCCCGGTGTCACCATTTTGTTTCCATATTCTGGTAACTGAAAAAAAGAACAAATTTAAATTCAAATGAGGCAAAAAACAATTTGATAAGTGAAACCTTGAGACTAGTAACTGTAATCTTTGGCCAGATTGCCATCTCTTTGCCGGCGTCCCGTCGTACTATCTCGAAGTCAACGTCGCCACTGGTCGTATAACTCCAAACCAGTTTTCCTGCAGTGGCCGTCTTACTGAAAAAGAAATAGAATAGAATAGTGTGTCAATTTTAAGAAGGATGAAATTTTAGACAGACATAATTACCCAGACAGAATCCCGGTTCTGGTCGTAAATCATCAATTCTCATGTGTGTTTTGAAACTCTAAATGAGATAAAGCTTACATCGAATACTCTGCGGTCTGATGAGCTTTTATTGAGAAGCTCTTTGATTTTGGTGCTTTCAACATTCCATTTTCATTCCAAATGTATTCTTGTGGTTTGTATTCTTCTTTGGTTATCTTCTTTGGTGGTTTACAAGCTCCTTCAGGCGGATCGGCATATCCTGTATCATCCCGATAGGTGCCTCCATATTCAACTGGAATCGAATTTACTTCCAAATATTTTTTCAGATCTTCGACGTTGTTCAAAAACGCCAACTTTTCGGCGGTATTCGGATCAACTAGACGCTTTGTGACTTGCCACATTACAGAGATGATCCCAGGTGGATTGATAAGCAAAAGTTTGCAGAGCTAGAAAGGGATTCAGTTAGAATCCGTTGATAATGATGAAACTCACATGCTCGCTGAAATATTCTGCCCAAATCATGACCACTAGTCTTGCCAACTGTGCTGGTCCTGATAATGGATTCATGAAGTCCATTAGATTCAATCCTTTCAAGTCCAAAATACAAACAACTGAAGATGTCTTTCCTGTTTTTCTCTCTGTATGTGCTATGGCTCTTGAGAAGTTCTCCTGCAGCATGAAGTAGGAATGAAGAACATAACTCAACGGCATGATTTTCAAGATTTCTTTTATATCCATTCCATCCATTCTCTGAACGAACACATGCAAGTTTCTTGATGTAACTTCGTAGTTTAGCTGAGAAATGTGGAATCGCTGAAAAACAAAATTTGTGGAATTGCGATCCTTTGCGATGTGAAAAGTCTTACTTCAAAACAATCTTTGCCAATATCGATTGTGGTAAAAATATCGAGGTCACTGATTTTGTCATATCCCATCAATTTTCTGTGCTCGAAAAGCTGAAGAATCTTTTTCTGTGTCTTCTCAACATCTCCATTATTTGCATGCAAAAATCTGGCGAAGAAGAATGGAGAGTTAAGTTTCTCAGGGACCGACGGAATTGATACTCTGAAAATTCGAACATTAGCAGAATACAAAACTAGTTCAATGTTGATCTGATTCATAAAAATGTTGGATGAAACGATTCAAAAAAAAAATGATCATGAACTAGTTGGCAATTGAGACTTTCCGTAAAAACAGGAAACTCACTTCAATTTCTCAGCTTTGTCCAGTATCTCTTGACTGAATTTCTTTGCTATGATCATTTCGTCAATCATTTTTGATTTGCTGATCACCAAAAAATGCAGACACAGAAAATAATCAGACTGTTGTGAAAAGTGGGTGGTCGCTTCGCCTAGAAAAGAATGGCATGAGAAAAAACAGTAAAAGATAAAAACAGGTTTTAAGAATAATAAGAAGCAGCAAAAAAGGAAAGCAGTAGAGTAAGAGAAAGAGTAGTGTTAACTGTTATCAGCTATCACACCACTTGATTATATGGAATAGTTATGTTATCATTGTCGCCAACAAAAACGACGAACATGGACAAATGATAGAGGCATCCTTTTTTCTCGATCTGTTAGTGATATGACGTTTATCATAGACAAGACATTCGGCGAAGGAAAAGTGTGACAAAAAATAATTCTGTGTTTTGTGATTTTGGAAGAGAGTTTCCTTTTGTGGAGAAAATAGACGCCAAACCTCAAGGTTGAAAAGGAAAAGGAAAACAAAGAGAGTTGAACTGGAAGCAAAAATTTAAACGAGAGGTGAGAAGGGAACAATTTTCACATTATACGAGTGCGCAGTCCTTCCACTCCGCCTCCGATGGCTAGTAACTGAACAGTAAACAGGAATGGCAGCGAGATGGTCAACATACAACGTGGTATTGTCGTTTAATACGGTAGTCACACATCCATATACACATAAATTTTCTGTGAAAAGAAAATGAAGAAGAAGCGAAAGGGTGAAGAAAAGAATGGGGGAGAAAAGAATGACCGTAAGTAATGTACTGTACAGTTTGAGGGCGGACATTTTCAGATTGTTTTTGAGATTGCTGAATACCTTGTGATGAGGGAAAGTCATTGGAAAAAGATAGGTGTAATCGAATGAGACAATGAAGTTCAGGTGAAATTGAAAAAAAAACACAGGAAGGAATAGGAAAATAGAGAAGAATTCAGTTCAGTGATGTTGAAGGAAGTTCCTGAAGAGAAAAGGAAATAGGAAACAAGGATGGATCTGCAAAGGGAGAAAAATAAGAATTGAATATTGAAAAAATAATCTCATTTTTAGAAAAATAATCTCATGTTTAGTTTAGTTATGAATAGAAGGAAAAACATACCCAGAAGTGAACACTAACAAGGGAACTTTTCAAGTTGGCCCTCTAATTTGCACAAACCTTTTTTATATTTGGGAAAATTATCCCATCCAAAATGTAGGGGAAGTTTTTTGACTTTATGAAACTACTTGAGAAAAACGCTTGTTAAATATGAAATTCCATATGATTTAAAACATATCAATTTTGGAAAATTTTAGCAGATTTTGAAAACGGATTTATAGGTTCTGCAAAAGGCTCTTTCACCCTGTATGGTTGGCTTGTGCGAAGTAGAGGGTCGACTTCAAATTCTCCCTTCTAAATACTCGGGCGTAGCCGGCAACTCCTGGTTGGAGGTTTGCCCAATTCCAGATAAGACCACTACTCTCTATCATGCTTACCAAACTCCGACAAACTTAGGAAAAGTATTCGAATTTCAACTTCCGACCGAATCCTGACCATGGCCTGCTATTCAGCTGCTTTTGGGCAAGTTCCGACCGTATCCAATGCCAAGCCATTTTGACAAGAACAAGGGTAATATGAAAAGTATAAATAATATAAGTTGATTGAATTTTCAAAATATTCCTGCAACTCGCTTTCCTCAAGACATATCCAGTCCGGAACCCCTCCTAACAACATCAATATTTTCCATATTACAAGGGTAACCCATTTTTACAAGGGTAACTCAGAATAGGATCATTTTTCTTCCCCCCTGGATCGATCCTTTTCTCATGAGCTCAGAAAACGACCGGAAATTAGTTCCGTACCCTTTCTATCAATCTTCTAAACGTTTTTATCCAAACCCAATCTTAACCAATCCATCCATTTCATTTCTCGAGTAAACAAATCTGAAACCTTTTCTTTCCACACATCCCAACATTCCATCTTTTCAAGCCCACAGGGTATTCTTCGGTTTTGTGTCGACACTTCTTTCCGTCCGTCCACACAAATATAAGAATTTATGAAAAATTGGCGTCTTTTCTCATCGCCTCCTTCTTTTTCTCTTACAAGAGCTTTCACAACCATTTTCACCCATCCACCAATTCCCTCCTACTTTTTATTCTTCTCCTTTTTTTCTTCCTTCAATTGCCTCATTTATTGAGAGATGAGCACATACTTATGTGGCGTTTTGAATGAAAATTGGAGCAAAAAGATGAAGAATGAAGAGAAGCTCCACGCAATTTGGTAGAAGGAGCATCTCCTGAAATTGTGGATGAAGAATAATATGTCGATCCCATTTTTGAAAATAATATGTCGATCCCATAGTAGCTGTGTCAAATTACTTGGACCACTTCCAAGAGAAACACAAAAAACGATAATTTTGTAAAAATAGAATTGGATGCCAAAAAAAAAATCAACACATACCGTAAAACTGTAATAGAAGGGCTCCCCAATTTTTAACTCTGAGAAAATTTTGCTCGCTTCCTGGGAAAGATATTAAAAAATTGTCAACTGATAAATTGTTCATCTTAATATCAGAAGCGTTTTGTTAGTTAACACATTTTTGACAACTTGCACAGCAGCCAAGTAAAATGATCCCAAACTTTACAGTGTGGGACACTTCTATTACAGGTAAGTTGGAATCTTGTCACACAATTCACGGGTAGCAAAAAACAATTTTCTGCTTATCCAGAAGCTTTTTATTCTACAAATAATCTCGCCCTAAATTTTATTTCTTATCTGAACTTTTCATTCTCTTTTTTCTCTTTTTTTTTCCAACTTTCTCATGTCTTCCTAGTTTTCTTTGTCAAATTCCACTCGTCCAAAATCCAAGAAAAATAAGTCCCATTGAGATACTTCAAAAGAGCCCACTTTAATCTTTTTATTGTATTTATGTCAACTTTTCTTTTTCTTCCGTTTTTGCATTTTTTCCCATAGGCAAAATAATGTACATATAAAGCACATTCCAAACTTTTTCAGTTATGCGAAGGACTTATTCCCGAAAAGAGAAAACTACGGTAACTTTTGTGAGAAGTCTAATGATTTCCGTCTTCAATTTAGATGACATGTGCCTTTTTCTAGTTGCAGTTTTCCTAGTTCATCGATTTTGGTTACCAAACTTCAAATCTTAATAGATTGATCTCGATAAAGTAGAACCTCCGAAAAAAGGAGTTCAAACTCGAGAAATTCAAACGAAAACCTCTCTGTCTCTTGTAAACTTCGAAAAGAACACCCATCACTAAAAACTAGGTCATGACCCATGTGACACACCACCAGGTTCTCATCAGCTCAACCTTACATCTTCTCCTGTCTTCTCCTTTTCTTCTTTGAGATCTCCTGTCGGGAAGAGCAGCTGTGCGTGCTCCCGCGCCGCCCTCTGCTCCACCTCTTGTCACTCTTCTCTATCTTTCGTTCTGTCTTACGGGAGGACCCAATCTTCCTCATCATCATCATCTTCATCAGTAGTAGTGTCCAGACCCAAAGCACTTTTCATGTGCCACTACTAGAAACCATCAGTCTCCGCCCCTTTGGTTATTCTTCTTCTTCTCTTCTTTTTCTTCTTCATCTTCATCTTTCCGAGTGTGATTCGTGTCTTTGTTTATGTCAACGAAGCCGCAAACTGCCTCTTCTCACCCTGGGTGTCAGAGAGCCTGTTGGTCCCTTTCGGTTTTTTTTGTGTCCCACTTCCCCATTGAGCTGATTTTGTAAATGAATGAGAGGGTGATTCTCCGTCTACCACAAGCATGTCTTTTGCAATCAAAATGCACTTTGAATCATTGAAATGGGTAACAGAGGCAAACTAATTTCATTGAATCTTCATTTCATAGATGAGATTTTCGGGTTTTCTTTCACATTTTTGCAGAACGTACTATGGTTCCTCCCTCTTCTAGTTAGCCTCTGACTCACTGTACCAATATATTGCTATGTTGTAGAAAGAATGAGATTCCAAGAATCAACTTCTAATTTACCGAGATTTATGTTATGGCTGCCTATATGCTCATTTTTTTGTTGGCAGAATTAAGCCTATCTATCATTCTGCTGAAATCCTCAATGCTCACATTTATTTTATCAACTCCTTTTTTTGTTTAATTCGGTTCCTTCATAAATGTTTATGTTCCAGGTAATTATGGTAGAGGCCGCTACGGTGGCCGAAAGGGAGCAATGGTCCTCATGGGCCGATTTTATAATGAGTTGTATCGGTTACGCCATTGGTCTTGGCAACGTCTGGCGTTTCCCATATCTCTGTTATCAAAATGGAGGAGGTTAGGTGAAGTTGTTGTGTCGGTTTGTCAAAATATCAATAATAATGAGAACCGGGGGAAGACTCCCAGAAGTAAGTGGGATAGAGAAACTTGATCCCGGCCTGCTCAAAGATTAGCTCGTCTCTCTTTTTCCACAACTCGTCAATCATCTTTCAAATTTGTCTTCTTGTTGTGTTGTCTGCTAGATTAATATGTAGGTCGAATAGAAATGAGCAAAAGAAGAAGAGGGAAGAGGGTGTGAATTCTGAGTTGGAAGAAGAGAAACGATTCAATGAGGCACAATTTGTCAGTCATTTCGATGGGGGGGATCCCCACGCAATTTGTCACTCCGAGAAAAGTCTGCCCTTCCCGATGTCATGTCTCGAGGCCTCACCGATCCGTGCTCTTTTCTCCCATCCTATCATAAATCACAATTTGCAGGCGCCTTCCTCATTCCGTACTGCATCTCGTTGGTCTTCTGTGGAGCACCTCTCTTTATTCTGGAAACATCATGGGGACAGCTTCTATCTGTTGGTGGATTGGGAATGTTCAAAATTTGCCCAATCTTCAAAGGTACTAACAAAAAGAGGACACAGGAACAATTGTTGTTCATTGAATTGAGTGGCAAAAAGATAGAGTATAACAACAATGTGTTTTGAACTAAATTTGAGGCAAAGTCTAGTTATGCAGCTTGATGTTGTGATTTTTATAGGAGTCGGAATCGCAGCAGCAGTCATGGCATTCTGGTTGAACATTTATTACATTGTTGTCCTCTCCTGGGCAGCCACTTACTTGTACAATTCTTTCACAATGACTGATGTCCCATGGAAAAACTGCGACCACTCGTGGAACACTCCAAACTGCCGATCCGAATACGTCAAGATTCCATGTGATAGTAACCGAACAATCGCTGAATTCTTCAATGTCAAAGTTTTGACCCATGATCATATTCATGAGTACAAAAAGCAATTTTTCGTTGGAGACAAAATCAATTGGACTGTCTGTTCTACTGCGGATCTTTCTGTTGTCTCTCCGGTAAAAGAGTTCTGGAAGTAGGTTTTCCGATAAAAAAACAAGATTCGTCAATGTTCTTTCAGTCATCGTGTTCTTGGAATCTCCGCTGGGCTGGAACATCCTGGAGGAATTCGTTGGGATCTCGCTTTCTTCCTTCTCATTGTTTGGATTATTTGCTATCTGTGCATTTTCAAAGGAGTCAAATGGACTGGAAAAGTTGTATACCTTACTGCCTCATTCCCTTATATGATGCTCTTCTGTCTACTCATTCGTGGATTGACTCTAGAAGGAGCTGGTGTTGGACTGGAATTCTACCTAAAACCGGATTTTAGTAAACTGCTAGAATCTAAAGTTTGGGTTGATGCTGTAACTCAAGTCTTCTTCTCTTATGGTCTTGGTCTCGGAGCATTGGTTGCACTTGGAAGTTATAATAAGTTCAATAACAATGTCTACAAGTAAGTGGAAAAATCCAAGAAAAAATTCAATTCATGAAATTTCCAGACAAGCTCTCACCGTCTGCTTTGTCAACAGTGGAACCTCTGTTTTTGCCGGATTCGTAATTTTCTCATTCATTGGTTTCATGGCCACTCAACAAGAAAAAAGTGTTGCTGAAGTCGCTCAAGCTGGTCCCGGTCTTCTCTTCCTTGCTTATCCATCTGGAATTCTTCAACTTCCTTACACTCAGTTCTGGTCTTGTCTCTTTTTCCTGATGGTTCTTTTCCTTGGAGTCGACTCTCAATTCTGCACAATGGAAGGATTCTTCACCGCAATCATCGACGAGTTCCCTCAAATTCGTCAGAAAAAATACGGTCGAGAGATATTCGTCGGAGTGATCTGTATTATTTCATACCTGATTGGGTTGACTACTGTAACTGAAGGTGGATTCTACGTTTTCCAACTATTCGACTTCTACGCTGCTTCCGGATGGGCTCTTCTTTGGCTTTTATTCTTCGAATGTATCGCTATTTCTTGGAGTTTGGGAATCGATCGTTGGTATGAACACATGAAGAGTATGATTGGGTATTATCCAAGTGGGTGGTGGAAATTCTGCTGGGTGTTCGCTACCCCAGCTGTTTGCTTCGGAGTTCTCTTGTTCGGATTGATCAAATACCAACCACTTCGTATTGACGCCTACAATTACGACTACCCAGTCTGGGGACATGTCTTCGGATGGTTCTTGTCTCTCTCATCTATGCTTTGCATTCCTGGATACGCCATTTGGATTTGGTTCAGAACACCTGGAACTGTTCAAGAGGTATGTACTATCGGATAAACAATTTCTAGCTTATCCTTCAAATTTTCAGAAAATCAAACTGCTTTGCCGACCAGATATTGAGATAAAGGGTGCCATGGAAAACGCGGAGAACTTGGAAATGGCTGATTATACTCATCAAGCTTAGATTAATTTGTAATCATTTATAGGAATGGATCTAATTAATTTATCCCATAGTCGTTGATCCCATTTTTCAATTCTCGTTTTTTTCAAATCTCCTTCTCCCTCTATCTCCTTCATCGTCGTCTCTTTTCCGACTTTCGACATTCCGATGCCAAATCTTCTTTCTGATTCCCCAAATATTCTGATTAGATGTACTGCCATAAGTTGTATCCTAAATGAACTACTAAACTAAACTGAACCATAAGTGTCTAATTAGATATTTCACTGCTATTTCGATTTTTTGAAATCATTTTTCTGAACCTTAAAAATTTAATGAATATGATTATTGAATCCATTTTTTTCGAAAAAAAAAAACTGACAGCTGAAATTTTGACAGGAAACACAAAACTTGAGTCTATTTATTTCTGCCGACTTGCATCTTTGGAAACATGGCAACCAAAATGATTCCAGAATTGTCAAACTACTATTCGAATCGATATCTACCCCATTGTCCCAAAAATCATAACTTTTTCGAAACTGAACAATTTTTAGAAATGTTTGCCGCATCTCTATTTTTCGTAACAACACCTATAAACTTTTTTGGGATTTACTGCATTATTTTCAAGACTCCAAATGAGATGATTACAATAAAATGGTGCATGTTGTATCTTCATTCATTGTATGTTTTTTAAGCCCAAAAAGTTTTTTCAAAGTTAAATTCAGAGCAACATTCTCGTCTCTGGCTCACCACTGTCATGATGCCCTTTGTTTATTTTCCAGCATGTGCTGGGTTTACTGTTGGATTACTTCAGTCACTGAATGTTTCAACAGAAATACAAGGATTCATTGGTATCGGTTGTTTGGGAAGTTAGTGTTTCGTGTAGCTAAATTTTTCAAAATTGTAATCCTGATAGTGCACCATGATGAAACATAATTCCATCTGCTTGGTTTTCAGATTTTTTATTTTCAGTGCTCGCCCTCTCTCTGCCCATTCTATTCGAAAACCGTCAACGCTATTTGGTGGACAATTATAAAATTACTCGACCTATCTCAAGAGTCCTATTTTATTCTCTCAATGTTCTATTCGTGCCATCATCTCTTTTTGGGGTATTTTCAATCATTCCAGAGCAAACATCGGCTCGTCAGATTATTCTTCAAATTCTTCCATGTCCAACTGAGAATTATTTCTTCCATTCTGTATTTGTACTCAGCTTAAATCATACAATAATAATCATCTACTTGAGTGTGCTATCAGCGGTCACTATTATCCAAATATTATTTTTCGGAGGGCATTCCTTAACATATCTGAAAACAGACTCAAAAAACATATCTGCCTCAACTCGAAGGCTTCAGAAAAGGTTCTTCCTGGTGATTAGTGTTCAGTTGGTCCTACCATGTATTATTCTTCTGGTTCCCGTGGTATATTTCATGTTCTCAATGATAAGCGGGTATTATAACCAAGGTACATTTCGTTAACTTCAAAAAAAATAATTCCAATATTTTTCAGCGTTGAACAATATCAGTTTTGTAACCATGACACTATACGGAGCTACAGCAACTCTAACAATGCTCTTCCTTCATAATCCATACAAAAAATTTGTGTTTAGTGTGTTCCCCGCCCGTGAAAAAACGAATGTGGTGAAACCACGGAAATGGGTTCGTCGAAATGCGGTGTCAGTTACAACACCGGTCTCGTTCTGATTTTTTAACCAATAAATCACTTTTTTATTGTTTGGTTACACCCGAAGTTGATGTGCCAGTTGATGAGGGGTTTCGATGTGACAGTCAAAGCAGCTGTCAGAATAATAGGAATGAAATCTGGAACGCGAAAGTTGAGTTTTCAGTGTTCAACGCAATAGAGTGATCAGTTAGATTCAGAAAAAAATTATTCGATTGATTTCAAAATCTAAGTGTTTCAAATGCTGTTCAAACGACCAACTAAATCTCATTTCCCATGTTTCTTTGATTTTCCGGATCTTCGCGGCTCTCAAAAAGCAATTCCCGTATATTTTTGCAACCAATTGCTCCGTAGAAGCTTCCGTGCAAAATCTCATAAAAATACAAGAACATTTGTCATATTCTGGGGACAATGGAAACTTCACGGAATATAAAAACCCGTATGAGCAAGCTTATTTCATCCTTATTATTTTTAATACGTCTTGACCGAATCAAAAATGTCCCTTTTCCTCTTTTTCTTATTTCTCCATCTGTTTCATCTTGGCGAATCTACTGAACTTTCTGGTATATCAGTTATTCGTTACAATGTTCCTTTCGGTTATTTAGTTACTAGAACTCCAATTTACACTGCTAAAGTTGATGCAAGCTTCAGTCCGAACTCTTTAATCGCTGAGAACTGTGAAACGATTATGTGCTTTGCGGTTTTCTATGACAAACACACAGTAAAATATTGATTGTTTTATCCACCCTGAGCTTCTCTTTTCAGAAGTTCCAACTGTTAACGGATATCGAGAATAACTATACCGAAAACTTCTTTCCATTTACTGCTGCGAGTATTGATGACTCTCTTGTATTCCTCAATAGCTCCAGCAACGTGTGCGCTTCCAATATGAACGACGCTTTAAACAAGAAAAGTTCACAGACTTACGACTCTGCTAATAATTACTGCCAAAAAACATTCAATGCTTCGTTGAACGGATTCCAGACAGCTAAGGAAAGATCCACATTCATCAGTAAATCATTATGATTATAGAGCTTCTAAAACTTTTAATTTCAGCAAATTTGAAATCTCTCGATATTCTTTCATATGGGTGGACATTCCTTGGAGCAATTAAGACATGCGGCAGTGCACGGTGTCCATTATCGGTTCCAGTAAGTGTCCAGTTTTTTATCAGCCAATAACTCCCACTTTTCAGTACCAATGGCAAAATGGAGTATCCACAAACCATACCCTTGCCAATGACTTCTTCTATCAACCATGGCTTGATGGAAGTGGGAACTGTTTGGGACTTGTATACAAATATCAGATGTACGACGACATCAGTTGTACGCAGCAAACTACATTTTCTTGCGGAAAATGGGCAGATAATTTCAACTGATCAGACGCAAAATAATGTTTTTAAATTCTATTTTGTAACAAAAAATGCTCATCCGCCCACCTATTTTTTTTTAAAGTTGTAGTCAGTGATGACGAACAACAACAGCTGATATTTGATTTTTCAGTTCAGAGACTTTCAGTGACTAGATATGTTTTTCTTGCATTATTAATAAAGCTTTCTCATTGGTCAATGTTCTTTAACAGACAACTCCGTTTACCGAAAAATCACTCAGCGGGCGCAAATTGAATTTATTAATCAAAAAAAAACTCAACATTTTGTTGGACTCATTTCATCCTCATAATATTCACTTTCCTCTTTTTTAAGGATGTCAATAAATAAAACATGTATTAATGAAACATATTTTGATACCGCTGATTTTCTGAACTTGTATTCTCATCTAATTTCAATAGTGGCGCTTCCAATTAATATTTTGGGTATCTGGTTGATTTATTATAGGACTCCGGTTCGAATGAAAAATATGAAAGGAGTAATGCTGAACTGTCATGTTTGGTGAGTTATTTTTGTGAGAGTATTTCGGTCTTCCTACAACATGGGAATAACAATTATGAGGCGCAGAATCCAAGGGTACACCAAAAAAGAGCCCATCTATTCAGTTCCTAGGGTACATGTAATTTTGTGGTTCATGCTTGAAGGATGAATAAATAAAAACAAAATATTTCTTTACAGACTATTTAGCTTTTTGCGCTTCATTTCAAGATTTCTTTTGTACCCTCTGAATCAATGTATCCTTGTCAGCAGTCGATGCATCCTCGATGTACCCATTTTCGGTGTACCCTTGGACCCAGAGACCAATTTTGAATACCAGTTTTTGGGATTTTATGGAATTGTTTGAACCGGAATTCATTAATTAAATTCCAGGGGTCTCTTTGGTGATGTGATGCTTGGAACTCTAACAATTCCATATGTATTTTTCCCGGTGATTTCCGGAACTCCTCTGGGTATTCTGACAAGGTTCTTTGATATAAACGCATTCTTTCAAACTTACATTGCTGTGGCTTGTGTAGCCGGTAAGTTAGTTTTAAGTAAATTAGTCAGAAAGAAAAATCAATTCTTAACCTATTTTTCAGAAGTCGGAAGTTCAATTGTATTTATGTTTGAAAATCGACAAAGCCAAACTGTCACATCTTCATGGAAGATCACATCGGAAAAGAGTAGAAATTCATTTTATGCAATCAACATGATATTTCCCTGGTTGGCATCAACTATTTCACTGATGAGAATCCCGGAGCAAACATCGGCCAAACTAGAAATGCTGAAAACGATTCCATGCCCTACTATTGAATTTTTCCAAATGTCAGTAATCATTGTCACCACAGATGCCAAATCTATCGGTTTGGCTCTTATGCTGTTATTATTGTTTTATACAATTCAACTGTTTTTCTTTATTATTCATTCTTCTTTTTATTTGTGCATCTCGACAAAGTCCTATGCAGTTTCCGAGAAAACTAAAAAACTGAAACGAAAATATTTTGTGGCAGTTTGTATTCAAGTAGGTTCCACATAGCGGCCCATTTTTCTCAATTAAAACAATTTCAGATCATGGTCCCGTTTGCGATTATGGCAGTTCCGGTAAGCTACTATGCATTTTCAATAGTCACAGATTATTATAATCAGTGTAAGTCATTTAATCTATCAGAATCTTCCAAGACGATTTGGTTTTCCAGCAGCCAACAACTTTTGTTTTCTGATAATGAGCATTCACGGGTTTTTCTCAACAGTTGCCACTATTGTCATTTATGAAAACTACAGAAACTATATTCTCCATGTTCTGAGAATTCGACGCAATCTTAAAGTGACCTTAATTCAGTCAAAGAGCATGGCGGAGACAACTTATATTTAGCCTTTTTTATTTGATTTAACTAGGAAATAAATTTTATGATAATTGTTTTTATAGTGATTCAATAAGTTTGACTCCCGGGGAATATTGTTCAAACTATACTCAAAAATAGGCCAAGAAAGATGGTTATCCAAGAAATCTTGGTTTTTGTAGAATTGCAATGAATTCGCTGGTCATGAATTGATTTGGTTATATTTGATCCTTCGAATTTTCGATAAGCATCAGCAATCACCTTTGGAAAACATACAAATTTAAGATGTGATCTGTTACACCTGTCAGACAGAGATTGACGTTTATACGTATACTTAAATGTAACCAAAGGGGGAAGGACCCCAGGGATGTTCGGAATGGCCTTTTCGATATTTTTCGGAATTTATCAATAAACTTGATTCAAACGGCTGCGAAGGGCCGAGAATTTGAGTTCCTGCGCAGTGAGAAATCTAAGCCATGGCCGCTGGTCAGATTTCTTTTATGTGGCGGACAGGTGTTGTGGCCTAGCGCGGAAATTCAAATCCTCGTCCCACTTCGCAAATTTTTAATATTTCCGACGGCGGTATTCGAGGATTTCGGAATTTTTAAAAATATTTTTTAATAAGGAAACTGCATAACGTTCGAAACATTTTAATGCAATAAAAATTTTCGGTCGGAAAATATTTTCGGTCCTTTAAAATCGAATATATAAAATGGGAAAATGTTGAAGTTTGACTGAAAAGAGGAGAGCGAGTTGCATGACTAATACATTTTGACCGTGCATTGATCATGGAACATGTATATTCGTCAGTTCCATATAATGAAATTTTCAAAGTTCAGGTTCTGGTTCAATATGAGCCTTGACGCTTTTGCTCCTAATCTGAATGATATTCTGACAACCGCTTGTTGTAACATTATGTAAAAAATAAAGGCTCATTTTTTTCTTGTTCTCGAATCAATATTTTTCATTATTCTCACGGAGTGGGAATTATTTAGTCAATATCCATAAACATTATTATCAAAGACAGGTGATTTTCAAGAAAAAAACCCTCAGTCTCCATTCTTTTTTCTATTACTAGAATCTTATGGTTATTATTCCCCCATGAATTCGATTTCAAATTGTCCTCCTCACAAGTATTATGAATCTGCAACTTTTCATCAGATACTCTCATATTCTATATCTCTAATAACTACTCCTGTCAACTTTTATGGTGTATATCTCACACTTTTCAAGTCAGAGAAAACGCTTAAAAATGCGAAATGGGTCATGCTCAATTCTCAAATTTGGTAACCATGGTTGTGTTAATTCCCATTTCTTAACAGATTTTTCCACAGGAGTATGATAAGCAGTTTGATGATAACAACATTCCTAGTTCCATTTCTAATCTCGCCCGTTGTTGGAGGACATCCGCTAGGTCTTTTTACTCATTTTGGAATACCTGTTTTTTGGCAATGTCTGATTGGTTTTGGATCGATTGCACGTTAGTCTTCTTTTTTTTCTAAATATTCCAAAAACTCGGTTTTTTAGAAACCGGTTCTACGATGGTAATTGTATTTGAAAATCAGCAAAATCATTTGGTGACAGACGGTATCAAACTGAATTCGACATTGTCCAGAAGATTATTCGCAATTTTCAATCAAGCAATCGGATTTTTGTTCATCATTCCAGTTTTAATGAATGTTCCAGACCAGGAAGTGGCAAAACGTAATGTGGCAAAAGTGAGATTTTCGTTCTTTCAAGGCTCTTTCTATAAAATTAAATTTCAGTGGATCGTCTGCCCACCACCAGAATTTTACGATATGCCAATTTTTATCCTAGCTGAAGACTCTTATCTAATTCGTTGGTCCGTGTCTTCCATGCTAGCAGTTTATATTTTTCAAGGGGGCTTTTTTATAGTTCATTGTAGCTATCATTTGATTTCAAAAACTAGAAGTTGTCGTTTAAAACAAGAAATATGCAGAGAAAGTTTTTCATTACCGTATATGTTCAAATATTCCTCCCGTTTACGATTGTTGGAATACCAGTATTTTTTCTGGTGTTTTCTGTTGCAACCGGTTATCACAATCAATGTGAGTTGAGTTCTTGTTATGAAAATATTTGAGGTGTTTGTAGTATTCAACAATGTCGCAATGATTTTAATGAGCCTTCATAGTTTTCTGAGCACAATATTCTCGATCGTTATGCACAACAACATGAAGAAGGACGGGTTTTTGTGTTGTAAGAAAACGAACGGAATTTCAAGTAACTATCAATCCAAATGATTTAGTTCCTCCTTCATTTATGCTTCTTTTTTCATACTCCTTTTAATTGATGAAAATGTTCTGTCTGTATTTTGTGTCTTTTATTCTGATACTTGAGAATTTCGTTTAGACTCAATCTTCAGAAAGTTCAATAGATTTTATTCTTCTTGGGATGAAACATAATGAAAAACCAAGGAAACAAAGAGTTGAAATCAACGGACAGCTGACACCCGACAAAAAAAATGTTAAACGGACAGCCAAAAATGACTGAGCAACGGACGCGCTGGAGTGCAAATCTGGTGCCGCAGATTCTAGCAGCTCAACCAAAAATCTAAATCACCAGTATCCATGTAACAGATATCTCTCCACTACCATCACCACAAGAATACTTTCGAGAAATCAGTAGCTTGGACCTGAACATTCATTATGAGTACAAAGTTTTTGAGATTCAAGTTCATTATTCAATATTTAGTGTAGTTTTGTTAATGTGTGCTAGATCACCGTTTTGGCTATAAGCAATTTTACAAATAATTGGATAAATTGTTTTGAGTCGAGTAACGTATTGCTTAATGAAATTCATAGAATTCTCAAACTTGTCAGGGTAGTTGCAAAGGTTATTCCAGTTTTCACGTCTTCAGGTTCTAGCGTTGATATCTTGATTTCACCTGTCACTACTATTCAACGCCTCACTTTAAGTCTCAACGTCGAAATTAGTTCTGAATCTATGGATTGGAACCTTTTTCTCCTCATAAGTGTGATTCTAACAATTTCTGGCTTGGTATCCAATGTGATGCTCATCAAGCTAGTGGCCTTCAAAGAAATTTTTGATAAATACTGTAAAATCGGAATCGGAGTTATTTCCTTTTCCGTTGTCATCTACCTGATTGCTTATGGAATTGAAACACTGGTATGTGTCTTATCCGGAACTCCATTCAGAAACCCAGTATGTCAGGAGCATACTATTTATCAGTTAATGAGTTTTGTTTATACAATGACTGCAATGATCTCTTATACTTCTCAAACTGCGTTCACAATTGAAAGAATTGTGTCTATCAAAATCCCAAAGTTTCATGATTCTCGGAGTTTCCAGCAAATATTCTGGATTGTTGTTGTGGTATTGATCATCTTTTCGTTCGCAATGTCTTGTTTTCATCATAGTGGAAATAAGACATTGGACGAAATCTATGGGATCTCCACTCAAGCTTTTGTTCTCTCCAACTTACCATTGATGATTGTCGCAAAAGTCTCAAGCCGCAAAATGTATCGTGCAGATGTCAAAACCTATGATCTGGCACGCAAGCATCAGTTATTTAATTCTTATGAAATCACAAGTAGTTTTTTGTTCGCTTTGATTATCAACTATCTAATTGAAGCATTTGCCCTTTTGCTTCTGGGAATGTTCAAATATGGAAACTATTTTTTCTCAGAAGACGAAACCGGAAAAATGGAGTTCATTATCCAGATGGTAAATCTTGTAGCTCAATTCCCTTTCAGCTAGTTCCTCGAAAAACAACGTCATTTATTATTTTCAGTTTTGGAATATCAACCACACCATATTCCCATGGTCGGTGATTCTATTTCATCGTGGTCAACGATCGGTATATGCTTCTTTCTGAAAATCCCATTATCATGAAAATATTCATTTTAGATTTTCAAGAAATCCAAAATTGAATCAAATGGAATGACAAGTATCGACGGTACACGAATTGTTTCAAATCCAACACAAAACGACTGTTTTGAGCAGATGAAATTGGCTTGGACCGGACCGATATTCTGACGTTTTCCCCGTTCTGATTTTCTTCCTTTCTTTTTCAATTATCTTTTCTCACTGATTCGGTTTGATTTATGTCTGTTGCAGTCTCTTAGGGAATTTCGTTCGTTAACTCAATATTTCTTTCTTTTCTTGTTTTGACAATGAATAAATTCCCACCAATATTTTTTTCCGCTTCTAAGACTCTAAAATAGTTGAAATTATAGAATCGCCATTTTCCGTCTACAAAAAAAATTGTTCGCTTGAACAAACCCGTCGTCATTAAACTTATCATTGAATAGATGGTGTCTTTTCTTCTTGAATCACCAGAATTTGGTAATTTTCAGATTCGAAAAAAACGAAAATGATCTGGTACTTTCTACTTTCACTCCATTTTATCGTAGAAATTGTCGGTGTTCTCTCCCATTTCGTGTTTTTAAAGCTTGTTGTATTTCAAGGTATCATGGATGTATGGTGCAGGTTTGTTTATTCTTCTCATGTTTATAGTTTTAAAAATAATAAATTGATATTCAGAATTAGTCTTGGAATGATATCGATTTCGATGATTGTAATGCTCACTTCGTATTTTCTCGAAACTTTAGTATGCCTTTCAATTGGAACTGTTTTCGAAGATGCTCAATGTGCTGAATTACCCATCAAAACTGTTCTTCTTTGTATTCATAGATATGCCGAAGCCTTTTCAATTGCTTCCCAGTTATTTTTCACAATTGAAAGGGTCCTTTCAATTCAATATTCTCGAATACACCGCTCAATCTACTTCAAAATCTTTTTTGTCACTGGAATTGTGTCTGTTAATGCTTTCGGTCTCTCCTATATGGTCACAAATGTATTGTTTGGTGAGTTTATAACAGTATATAACAGTTCTTTAAATCATCCGATTTTAAGGTTGGGATGGGATGTTTTGGCTAATAACATTCCAGTTGCTCGTCATTGCTAATTTTCCAGTAAGTTTCCGCTAATTAACTCTCAATTTGAAAAAACTTTTTTTCCAGCTGATGTATTATGCGAAGAAGATCAGCAACACAAAATATAACGCTGATGTGACTACATACTCTCTGAAAAGAAAACATAACGTGAGTCACGAGATAAAAAAAAATGTTAATAAATGATTTTTCAGCTCTACAACTCCTACGAGATAGCTCGAAGTTTTCTATTTTCGACGGGGATTTATATGGTCGCCCAGTTGACTTGTTTTTTCTTACTGTGGGCATTTGTAGCTGGATTGATATTCGATGGAAATCATGTATTGTTTCCCAAACTATTCTTTATAATCTCTTTGGTAAGTTCTTTGAATTCTGAGTCAATGGGAGCCAGACAATGAGTATTCATACTTTTGGTGAAGACCAACGAGACCGAAACTAGATTTTTGAAAATCAGAAAAAAAGTGACTTGTCTAGGAAAGTATGAAACAACAACGAACTCGATAACTTCACGTTGAGCTCAATTATCTTTCCTTTGAAAGATACCTAAAGTTTCTTAACTGATAAAATGTTTTCCGTTAAATTACCAATATTATAATGGCTAACAAAGTTTTATTATCTTTTCAAGGAACCAAGATAGTTGAGCTCAAAGTGCTAGATGGGCTTCAGAGCATTTGCGGGAGTTAAATCTGGAAGTGGGGAGAACAAATGAAAATCTCGAAAATCTATCTTCGTTGTTTTAGATCTGGCATGCAAATCTAACTGCTTTCCCGTGGATAGTGATGCTGATTCACAGAAGTCAAAGGGAGCGAATCTATCGGGTTTGGGTTCAAGTAAGTAATACAAAAAATATGTTTAATCATTCCCAAAATTTGAAATCATCTTAATTGCAATAAAGTGATACCAAAATGATTATTGTGTTAGATAACCTTGTTAGATCATGTAGTAAAACCATCAGAACACGATGCAGCTGAAAATTTCTTTAACCAGGAATTGTGACCCCAGTAGTCCGACTTTTGCGTTTTGATCACCAAACATATGATATTTTCAGATGTTCCCCACTACCAAAACATCATCGAAAATCTTGGGAATGAATGGAAAAGAGCTGGTAACGACAGCAACACAGCACGATTATTTCAGCCAACTTAACAAATCCTGGAAATAAATTTTTATTTTCACAGTACATTTCATATTCTTTAATCATATTAGACAAGACAGGTGAAATGAAGACATAAAATAAAAACAAGCTAGTTGTGTTTTCTACGAATTTCGTCCCAGAAAAATCAGAAAATAATCAATGGAATCTTATAATAAGTTCTTTGATTACCTCGATACTCATAGAAAATGTTTAATGTTTTGTGATAACGTATTAAGTTGAAGGTACTTCTGAAGTTTTCAAGTTTCATGAAGAGAACTACTTCCAAATTTACCGAATCATTTTGTATCTCATTGGAGGTATAACAAATATATTCTTCTTTTTCACCATTTATATTCTTCTACATTACGGTAAAAGTTTGAGCACGACGTATCGAAGAATCATGATTATCAATACAATTTTTCCGGCCGTAATTACAAATTACATTTGTTTTCTTTTCCAACCATATGTCCTTTCTCGGACCACAGCTACATCTGAAACTGCTCTGGAAATTCTGAAAGTGAGAAATTTTCAAAAAACTGATTTTTATGTTTTTGGATTTTACAGCTATTCTCATGCAAAATTTCTAGTTGATTGAGCAATTTTGAACAGAGTTATGAATGTTCGAAAAAATTCTCCTCACCACTTCTCGCCACTGTATGTATAGCGACTTTCCTCTAATAAACCAGCACTAGAAAGAGTTCCAAAAAGCTATGTCGCGCCCCAAATAACTTTCAGGTGACACGAAATTTGATAATTTCAAAGTGAATATGGATTTGACCTGGGTATTTTTAATCAACGCTCGCTCGTTCGCTCAGAATTGTACGTTTGATACTCAGCGAACGAAAAGAAAAAAGAGGTTCCAATCTCACGTTCGCTGGGGCGTGGTTTCTGACCACGCCTTTTGGAGCTTTGTGGGCGCTCCTTAACTTTTTAATAATTTCAAATTCAAAAAACTGTATTAAGAAGGTCAAAGTAGTTGAATCAAAATTCTAAAAGAACGTCGTTCTCGCCTTCTCCATACAGACCGAATTTCAGAAAAATGTACTATGTCAACTTAATTTGGATATCAGTCTCTTGCTTATCATTTGTCTTCAATATGATTGTTCTGTTCCTTGCAATAGAACGTCATCACGAACGACTTGAAGCCAAGATTCTCGCTGTGGATCCTGATTATCAATCCATTTTAGACACCTATCATCCTATCATTATTGACATGAAATCTGCCACGATCCCAATGAACATTCTTCTTTTAGAAGGTGTGTGGGCGGCTTTGCTTTATACAATTATAGTATTCTATGGTTTATACAGGTAACTTTCGACTTGATAATAATTTCTTTAGTATAATTAGCTTGAATATTTTTGCAGAATTTTCTATTCAATTTACAAAAATCAACGAATCGTCTCGGAAAGAGTAACTAAAGCGCAAACTAACATTGTCATCACATTATTCATTTACGGAATCACATTTTTTGGATTAATTGGATTTCCGACAGTTGCAGCTAGTACCGCAATAGTGGCAGGTGTTGATGTCAAGTATTGGCCTTTTGGTGGAGTGTATTTTATATCATTATCAGTTCCAGCAACCCTATTTTGTATCATCAATATATTGACAATCAGTCCTTATCGGAAAGCTATCAGGAATCTATTTAGGAGACTTGTTCATATTTCAAATCAATCTTTTGTAGCTACAGTATCTGAAAATCGTAATGCTGTTGTTCAAGTGCCACAATCATTATTTACAAGAGAAAGGCAAGCACAATCAAATCCGCAAGCGGTGCAACAAAATTAGCTATCATTGCTCCGCCCATCAAGTAATCAAGCCCACGAAGATTGCAACTGTTCGAAATATTCATTCTGGGATTGATTGAAACTGATTCGATGTCCATCTAATTTTCTAACTCCCATTTGTTGCTCCTCTTTTATTTCTTGTTGTTGATTGAATGGATTTATCTTTGCAAACTGGAAAATTTGATTTGTCAAAAAAGTTTACTTTCTGGAAACGTTTGACTCACCCGCCGTCTAATTTTCCTCGAACCGATAATGAAGAGAATTGGAAAAAGAGTAGCTGTCAGGTTTAATGTCTGCAATCCAGATATGAGATTTTAGACTCTGGTTGTTAGGCTTTACCATATTCGCTAAAACGAAAAATTCTTGACCTTTTGTCTGGGGAATGACATCGAATAGTAGACACCAGAAAGAAATGAAAACTACAATATTAATAGCGAGGCTGCTGATTGTAGCAGGAAGTGAGCTACGACAGAGTTCATAGCTTTCGGATAGCTGGAAGAATAGTACATGGGTATGACTAATTGAAATAAGACTCACCATGTATCTTTTCGTCAATGAAATTATACCCAGAGTTTCGTAGTATCTCTTTTTGGCAACACAAAATAGATACATGACTAGCTGAAATCAGGAAAAATTTGTATGATAAACGGATATTTTTATCGTAACTCACAATAAAGGAAACCAGGTAGAGTACCGATGCAAAAATAGTACAGTATAACAGGGCAAACACTGATTTAACTGAAAAGTCATTTAAATTTTGCCTAGTTAAGGAGATTCTCACCAATATTCATCATATACAAATAAGAACTAAGTGAGATTAGATAAATAATAATTATGAGAGAAAACCAAAGTTTATAGGTTTCTGATAAACGGAATGTCGGAAAGAATACAGAAGCGTACCTCTCTGAAACAAAGATATTAATTTAACTGAAAGCGCTGTTTTTTTATTTTACCAAATACTAAAATGAAAATACCAGAAACAATTGTAATTTCTCCATATGAGTGTAGCAAAGTCATTATTTGGAACAATCTATTTTCCATACAAGATCCTGAACTGAAATACGACCCATATGATAAACATATCGACGTCGTTAATACATTTGAAGTTATGAGCAATGTTGTAGCCGAGGCAATTATAAATGAAGCGATTCTAAATTCTTTAAGGTATGATGATCGAAATTCAAAAGAAGAGTTTTCACCTGGAATATACATCAAAAGAAACATTGAAAACCACCAATTTAAAATAGAGGATGTTGGCAACAAATCCAATTAGAGCCAGAATATAATTTCCCACAATTAAAACCTCCCAGAAAACCATTATCGAATTTTGACCTGGCACGGTTTAGTCACAGATAGACTGATTTACTTTTAGTTATTCAATCTTTGCGCCTGGAAATAGGCGGTGAAAATTCAATTAATGGCACATAGTTGAAAGAGAAACTTCTGGTCACATGTCAAGAAGGAAATAAATTATCTAATGAATGAGAAGGAAGTTCAATCTGATTACAAATCGAGGATTGAAAAAGAGGAAGTAGAAGAAATTTTTCGAAAATCTAGAGAGACTGACTTCAGATTTTACAAAATGCCAATTGGAATTGTAGATATAAATTAGTATTTCGGCTCCGAGTCACTTCGAAACCAGTCATTTCGAAACCGTGGTAAGAATTGATAAATTTCAAATTACAAAAAAAATATTTAAGAAATTCAAATATGCTTTTTTGATAGAACACATTCTGAAAATTAAAAAAAAACATCGGTTTTTCGAAAAAAGTGATTCTTAGATTTTTCGGATTTCAGGATGTGTCCTATCCGAAAAAGCATATTTGAGTACCTTAAATATGTTTTTTATGACTGGTTTCGAAATGAGGCGGAGCCAGGATTTCTACGTTCAAATGAACAATGGAAGTGATCATAAAAAAGGAAGAAACTCCTTCTATAAGACAGATCAGTTCTAATAAATCTAGTCTAGTTAAAAGATAACAGTCTAATGGTTTCATGGAACAATGCACATATTTGAAACCAATGACCACTTTTATTAAAGTTCAAAATTTTGGTGATGGACTTTGAGAATCAAAAAGTGAATCATTTGATACGAAGAATGTTGTTTAACTTTGAATTTCAAAGAATTAAAATCAGCGTTTGTTCATTATCATTAGAGCACAAATCATGCTTGAGATCACACACTTTATAAATCCAGAACAAGAAAACAACCTATTTCGAGGAGTTTTCATAAACTGAATCTTACACCTGACCCACAGTATCAGGTTAGCTATACAAATGAGTTTTCTCGTTATATTAATAATTTTAGAAGAAAAAACAACACATTTCGTCTATGGCGGAGGAGTTATCCTCATCAGGGACTCCTAGTGTTATTCTTATGAATAATATTTACATTTCAGCAGGTGGGTAAACTGCACGGTGATTTTTTCGGGACGTTTTTGAAAATTAATTTTTACTGTATTTTTTTGACAGAATGCAGGTACCGCTGAGTAACGGCTCTTGTATTTTGAAATTAAAAATTTCAGTACGTTTTCAGAAGAAAAAAAATCAGGACTTTTCCAATTTCACAAAAATCTGAAAAACGTTTTTTTTTTTCTCAAAAACTTGCTCAACTTTGGTGAAGTTTTTCATGAATTTTGAACGAAAATTTGCCAATTTGTTGAATCGAACTTTTCCAGACGATGGCTGGAAGAATAGAAGGGCTCCTGTAATAGAACGGCCCTCCGGATGTACCGTGAAACAATAGAAGGGCCGGCCCTTCTAATACAGGTTTTACGGAATAATATAATAAGATGATGCGGAAAACAATGAAATTTGGACAAAACTGAATCAAGAAACTTAATAAATCAATGTAGTATTATTTAATGACTTGAATTAAAATTTTTTGAGTTATGTCCTTTACAAGATTCAGCTACAAACTATGGAAATTCTCTATTTAAAGATTTTTCGAAGGACTCAATATATAACTTATAATTACTATCGGTCCGGTTTTTGGTGCCTTTATAAACTAAAAAATCGAAATTAAGAAAGAAAAACAATTCATTGGAGGTATAGTAAGTATTTTTCCAGAAAGAATCAAAACATATCCAGTTGATTAATTAAGTAAGACGAATTTCGGCAAACAGAAAACAAGCGGGGAATTCCAGAAATACAATTCGGTGAGAAAATTTTAATTACTAAGAAATCAAAATGGTGAAATTCAGGCCCAACAGTTATTCAATTGCTGGAAGTACTCTTCCTGAGTTTGAGTAGTGTTTATTATGTTTCCATTCAATTGACGAATTTCAATTTCTTGAGGTGGACCTGTTTTCATCGCGTGAATCTTTCTCTTGATTTTCTTACTGTTGCAAATGAAGAGGATGGGATAAAGAGTCGCAGATATGTTTAACACCTGAATTATTTCATGTTCTGGGTTTCAAAAAGAAAAAAACATACCATGTCGTAACACAGAAAATATGGATACATAAAACCAAAAGGAATGATACCCAGGACAAAGAGCCAGAAAGAAAGGAAAAGCGAAGTGTTGATGGCAAGAGAAGTAAATGTAGCAGCAAAGCAGTTTTGGCATAACTCATAGCTTTCTGATAACTGAAACAATATAATTATTTTCAAAGACAACATCCTCTCTGATTACCAGATATCGTTCTTTGAGTTGCAACACTCCCAATGTTTTATAATACTGTCTCTTCGAAGTAAAGTACAAATGAACGAAAATCTGAAAGTTGTGTCTATAATTAGAAAAGGTTTTGAACTCTATAAACAAACCACAGACGATACTGTCGACAGAAAACAGTTTATAGAATAGGCTGACAGTTGAGCAAGTGATGTTGTACCTAAAAGAAATTCAGAAACTTGTTTTTTTCCAGCAACTTTTGTTACATATTCTCATTAAGTAGATAGAAGTGCTCAAACCAATGAGATAGAGACAAAGAAGACCCATAAACCACAGTTTGTATTTCAATGTCAAACGAGAATTGGGAAAGAATACTGCCCCATAACGTTCTAGAAAGTAGATCATTTAAGTTTTTCATAAGACATACAGCCTACCAAAAATCATTATAAAAGTTCCAGCTGGTACTGAAAACTCTCCGTATGTTTTGAGGTATTCCATTTGAGTGTATAGCTCTGAAACAAAAGTTTGATTATTGAAATATATGCCTCCAAAATGTTTGAATTAAGATTTTAAGACCCTAAGGGAATTTGATGTGAAAACCATTTATCAACTGGCCTGTTTTGCCACAGTGCCTTGATCGAAAAATGGAACCATCGTATGCTAAGCAGATGATGGAAGAAACTAAATGCGAAATTATCAGCAAGCACATTCCAGAAGACATAATGAACGATGCGATTCTGCAAATTCAAAAAGTTGATCTCGTTGGCACTGAATTCGTCATTGCCTCCAGTATCCATCGTAAGATTTGTTGATGACTACTAACTTGAAATACGCCAAGTTTGCAATAATACCAACGATAGAAACAATATAGTCGAAGCCCGCGAGGCCATACCAAATATTCATGTTGAGAAAATCCATGACAAAAATAATCCAGTAAAACAAAGGTATAAACAAAAATGACTCTCTGTCGAGAGATACTACATACAAATGGAAAAGATGTATCTAGCGAATGGAATATTTGCCTCTGACTAGACACGTGAGAGAGGACCCACTCTATAATTTCTGATAATCGGACTATGAGTTAGCTCAAAATCGTTTTGTCAGAAAATGGATTATTGATAAACATGTTTTTGAAATAGGAGAATAAAAAAATGGATTGCTTATTCGGTTAAGAGGAAAAATTCAGCGATTGGGGTGGTAATTAAGGCTTTCTAGTAAAGGTGGTTTGAGAATTTGAAAACAAATTGTTCAAACATCATGATCATTATAGATGGGAATGTTGAACTGAGCATAAGGTTCAAGAATCATTTTTGTATCAAGATACGATTCCGTCAGTAATTTGTGATACCGTTCCTTGCTCTTATCTGGTCTGTCAGAAGATGGGTAGGTATATTTTGAAGAATAATCAAAAAATAGTGATTTCCTAAAAGATCCTAACAAGTGTGGAACCGGTTAATTTTGCATTGTGGATCCGAACAAGCAAGCTTACTGTGTTATAATAGCTGGAAAAGTTGTATTTTTTAAAGAAAATTTCGAGATTTTTTTTCGAAAAGGTCTGATTTCCATTGTGGATTTGATTTTTATAATTTTCACAAAATTTTTGTCATTTCTAGCTCAAACTTGACCGTCTTTGGTACATTTTGAACTCTCGCGGCCGCCCGATTGGCGGTCAAAAAACAATTTCCACCATATTGTGCCGTGTTGGGGATCGAAATGTTTCAATTTTTTGACGAATCCGAGAATTTGATCGAGAATAAAAACAATTTCAAAAAAATTGGTTTTTGACCAACCGGAAGATTTGAAATTCGAATTTTTGCTCTTCAGAATATTTATGAATTTTGAAAGTTTTTGATCTCTAACACGACTTTTTTCCGGTCAAAATTGGTTTTTGACCGACCGTCAGATCGTTCTGATTCCAACTTTCAAAAACTCGCAATCAATAAATCTAGAAAAATGGATTCTAAATAGGACTCGTCCGACTTGTTCACTTCTGGTTCCTTTTGGCTTTTGTCCACAATCTATGACGCCATTGAAAAAAACACTTCCGTTGTAACAACTTGTAAGTTATAATTATGACACAGATTTAAAATTAGTCTCGATGTTCTATGAATTAAGTCTCAAGAAAATGAAATCGACAACTTTTTAAAATTTCTAACATAACAAGTTTATTATGACCATCTCAATTCATAGAAATACTCGGAACAATGATTGACTTTGGTTGATCTGAATAAGAAAAAAAAGAATCAATGAATTCACTATATTTGCCACAAACTTTTTGGCTTCCGTATTACCGAACGCATTTCGCGATTTGATGCAAAAATAATTACTCTGAAATATGAAAAATTATTCAAGACCTTTTGGAACTTTTACTAACCCTTCCGCTGCCTGCATGAAAGCCCAAATATTGGAGAGAACAAAAAGGATAACCTCGTTCACGAATAATGGAGCCAATACATAATAGGTTACAAGTCCAGCGAAAACGGAAGTTCCTTGGAAAAAGGTTTGCTTGACAAAGTATATTTCTCGTTGTCTCTGTTGCTTCGTCATTTGAACTCCTGGATTCAATGATTTTCTGTTTCTCCCTACTCTATAACCAGACACCAAGTTTATAGTAACTATTATGACACCAAATGAGTTGTTGGGGATAAAATCGGTGTACCAGTTTACAGAATCACAAAATTCAGATGATAAAGAGGAGAATGTCCAGAAGGATTCGTAATATTGAAAATAGCACCCAACAGCTCCGTAGGATATGGTACATTTGATGATAGCTATAATCCAAAGCATAATCATGACGTTGAGAGTGAAAAAATTAGTGAAGATACTCTTATAGTGAAGTGGAAAGAATACAGCACACAATCGGTTAAACGCCAGAAAGAAATGGAACATAATAGAAGAATGGTACATTGTTGTAGCAACTATACCTACATAATGAGAGTATGCAATGAAACTAATCGCCAATCTGAAACTACATCTAAACTGCGTTAAAATTGTTTTGTTCTTACTCCAACTGCCATGGAAAGGCGAAGAAAATAAAAATAAAACAAAGGATCGTAGTTGAAACTGCTTGGTTTTTGGTGATAATACCAAAGGAGCTGTTCATGGAAGGCAGCTTCTTTGCAGCATACAAAACAAGGATATTTGTTATGGCACCAACCATAAAAACCAGTATTGTGATAATTGCAGCAGCGAACTGGTTCTCCATTTCAGTGTGAAATAGTTTCAGGTCAATGTGACGGAGAAGAGGGAATCTAAATTTTGAAAGGAAACGATTAGAAAAAAATTCGAGACGGATTTAATGACAAGTTTGATGAAAACTCTTGTCTTGTTCTAGAGCTGTGATTTGGAGTCCATTGAGATTAAAGTTGAAATAGCACAGAAAACAATGTAACCTTGAACGGAACAGAAAGTAGTTTTTTATCTTTTTCTTTTTATTGAGAAAGTATACATATTTCAAGATCTACACTGAACAAAATAAATGAAAAAATAGATGTGAAAACATTGAGATTTCTAAGAATACCTTCTAATTTTTTAGTGGCGTCCTAATCTAAACATCCAATTAACAAAGTCTGTCTGGGCTGATAAACTGACTTTGATCTATTTGAGATCGGGTTCTATAAAACTGAGAAGTACAAGCTGACAATGAGAAGTTACCTAAAACCTGCAATAGAAGGGCACCCTAACTTTTAACTTTGAGCCAGTTTACCTCGGTTCCTGTCAAAGATATCAAAAAGTTGTCAACTGATAAATTGTTTATCATAATATCAGAAGTGTTTTATCAGTTGAAATCTTTTTGTTTGATACCGTGCAGAGAACGGAGATAATTGAATTCAAACGTCACAGTGTGGTTCCTTTCTATTACAGGTTTTATGGTAGGTAAAAATATGTATATCCTTTTTTTCTAATTTGAGGAAGAAAACGTCTGCCGCTTGATATTTTTAATCAGCAAAATGTTGTGAGTATAATTGCCGGCAACTAATCTTTTGAGACCTATTAGCAGACATCTAACATATTTCACCTGCTAAATGTTTCCTGAAAAAACTGTTCTTACTTCCATAACAAAGAATAAACAGATTCTAGAAAATTCTGAATATAATTTTGATACACAATTGATACACAATCTTCAATCTGTCGGAAATCAGAATACAGCTTCCAAAAAAATTAATTACTAATCAGAAAAAGTCAGAGCCACCCAAGGCGAATGACTAATTATGAGAAAGAATTCGTGCAAGGAGGAATGTTATCTGACGTATTTTTCGAAACTCGTAGTGGTTTTTGTTTTTTAGCATTCTAGTTTCTCAATGTTTCCATCAGATATGAGGTTCTATTCGCACTACTCAGTTCAGCCATTTAGATTAAAAATTGTTATCTATAGGTCGTCGTAATCTCTCTCATCTTCCTCATATTTTGCTGTGATTACCACAAAACGCATATTTTGCAAATTCCATTCAAAAATCCAAAAATAGCAGTTTATTCAACCCGTCAGCTTCACTCCCCGCATATCTCTTGATACTATGAAATCGGTAAATAATTTTTAGCATTTCTCTGAATCATTTCCTAGACACTCTAATTGTCAGTCTTAAGATTTCCAAGCTTGTTATCGTGAGCAGACTAGTCCCCATGTCCCTTATCAACGTCAATGGCTCACTTGTTTTGAAGTTTTGTTTCCAAGAATTAAGATTTACTACTGTAACAATTAATTGTCTGTTTTGCAAAATAATGTATATAGAAGATTTGTGAAGTTATTGTGCTCGCTTTTGATCTGAAACATCAGAAACGACAATTAACAGTTACAGTTTTATTTGGAAAATCGTCGGAATTTGATTTGAGAGAGGTGACTAAATGAGAGTGGTATGAATCTTGGGGGTTGAGGAAAATATTAGTGGGAGAGATAAGAAGAGTCATTCGAGGATAGGAGTATCGGTAAAATATGAGAATGGAAAGGAAACAGAATCACAACAGAAATGAGTCTATTTAATCAAGACAAATGCTTGATTCCCTGAGAAGAACTTCACGGCTCTCCACTCCAGCTTTCTGCTTCTTCTTGCGTGTTTCATATTCCCCTTTCCAGGACGCATACAAGCGTTTGATTCCCTCTTATCCTTCGTAACTTTCATGAGATCCTCCATCGGATTCTATGGTTGTCTTTGGTGCGGCACTCTGGGTCTTTCTGGTTTCTTCTCGTAGAAAGTTACGCTTGATTCCTTTATAATGATAAAGGAACAGGATCGGGAACAGCGTGGCTTCCATGCATCTGCAGACTCCGAGGATCAGAAGGCAAAGGACATTGGTGTCAGAAGTGTGTTTTATTGGGAAGAAGGGAATAACAACCCATGAGACGCTGATAACCCAACGGAGTACGGTAAGGAGCATCATCTTAGCAGCGGTTGTTTGTGCTTGATGAACCTGGAATTGGTTTGGGTTTCAAACGAGTTAGTCATTCGATTGTTAACCTGCAGTCTTTGGGTTACGGTAGAATCGCTTGGGATCGCAGTGGCTTGTCTTTTCGTGGAAAACCAGACAAATATGCTTAGCTGAAAATAAAGAACATTTGGGATCTGGCTTTTGAAACTAACGACTAGGCTAGCAGAAGTTGTTCCCAGAGAAACCCAAGCAGAAGGATGGATTGCATAATTTCCGCGATAAAACAGTTCCGGAACGACGAAAGATGCGTAAACGCCCAAGAGGACGAAGAGATAGAAGAAATACGAAAGCATAGGTTTCTTTTTGAAGAACGTCTTGTACTTAACGATGTACGAATCTGAAAAAATCATATTTTGAGGAGGTCCACTAACCAGACCCGACCAATTAAGAAAAGAAGAATTGCGAAGTTCATTACGATTTCAATATGAACGTTGATGGCTCCAAACTTCTGACAGAGATCTTCAAATTGTAAAAACCCCATGGAAACGAATGCCACGTTTCCGAAGATGGTGAGAACATATCCACCGGACATCACACCAAGAAGAGTCCTCGGGAAGGTATCGTAGTACTCTCGAATGACGGTCTCGGTGATGAATCGATTGTGAAGATGTACATTCAGAGTGCCAAAAGAGAGAAACATGACAAAGAATGTCTCATAGACAGGACCACGAAGCATCGTGGAGATGCTGAAAGTATTATATTTAAAAAAGAAGTAGAAGGAGGCTCAGGTCAGAAGAATAGACCAAGAAAATTATAGAGCTCTCAATCCTAAAATACAATTTTTTTTTTCTTCTTCTTTGGTTCGAAACAACAAGGGAAAGAGGGGAGACTTCTCACAGGTAAGCGAGTGAGGAAAAATGAGAAGACTGCTCGTGATTGTAAGGGTTTTATAGAATTCTGATTAAGATTCTCTTGGGAGTTTGGAGGCGTTATCATAACAACGAAAAGATGTGTACATACAAAGAGTTGGAGGGAGGAGTTTCGAAGTTTAGGTGATAATCGATACTGAAATGGGATGAATTGAAAAGTGTATTTAGTAGATGGGGCGCTTTTGGCGCGTTGAGAAGAGGATGATGAAGATGGTTTATCAATAGATACCTGGAAAAAAAACCTGTAATTGTACCAACAATTCGGGTGAATCGAAAATTGTACACTTTTATACTAAAGGCTTTAGTAAACAGTTTTAGGTGGGTGAGGAGAGCACAAAAAACACAAAAAAATTAGAGCTTTGGAAGAAAAACGTCGGTAGCTGTGGCCAAAACTCCCACAATAACATCTACCGTAACCTAAAATTATTTCATTTTCCAAAATTTTTTTTTCGATTTTTGCTGCTCTCTGACGATTTTTCTGTTATTTTCCTGCAGAGTAGTCCGAATATTCAAAATTTTGATAGCGAAAAGTTAATGGAAAACGCGCAAAAATCGAAAAAATAATTTCGGAAAATACGAATATTTTCAGGTTACGGTATTTGTCGTTTTAGGACCTTCGGCAACGGCCACCGTTTCTCTTCCACAGCTCCGTTTTTTCTGTACCAGAATAATAGTCAGTCATGAATAATACTGAACTTGAGGCTTTTCGCGTTCAGTAACTCCTCCAAAATACTTCACATTCTATCTGAAAACCCGTTTCTTTTCCTTTGTAGCTCCCCAGAAAATCACAAAAAAATCATTTATGTATGTTTTGTTATATTACCCGGTACAAAAGAAACACCATGAACATGACTTGGTTGATGAAGACAGAGCAATGATACATGATAAGCAAAGGGAGAATTCGGATAAAAGGTGAAAGCAAAAGAAACGGTAAAATCAGTTTTTAACCCGTAATTATTAGCACGCGTTTGTCACTCATTAAACATTACGCAGAAAGATGAAACAAATACAAATAACAAATAAAACCGGGAACAACTAGAGACGGGGCACCATTCTTACAGAATTATGAGGAAATCAAGGCAAGAGAGGAAAGAGGCAAAAGATCCGTATTTTGGAAAATTGAGGAAAAAACTATAAATTTAATCTACTATAAATTTTGGTAGTTGTTGTTGAGGATGTTATCGTTTTGTTGGATGGAGGGAACTGAATTTTCTGGTTGAGCATTTCATGTAATACTGTTGGCGATTGAGCAGATACACGGTCCAGCGGTGATTTATTGATTTCACACAGTTGTCGGTCTCTGAAAAAGGGGGTTTTCTCTAGATTTGACAACATATAATGGATGTGTGATTTGTGCTTCAATCTGAAAAGAAAAAAGGGAGCCGTTTCTCACCTGATATCTCCCCAGCCTCCATTCTCTTTCGACGGCTTTAGTGATCGTCGCGAAGTGTCGGTAACAGATAAACTGGTCGGGAAGAGCAAGTCTTTGTGCTGCCGAAACAGTTCTTGAGTTGATTGAAGAGCTTTGTGTGCTTCACATCTGAAAAAAGATTTGAAATTTAAAATACAATATTTTTCATCGGAGGTACAAAATACCAGAAAAAAATTGAAAGAATTTTGTAGCCCTAAATCGCTTTGCACCCTCAGAATTATTTGCCGAAAAATTCGACTCTATATTTTGGTGCAAAAAGTTCACGAGTGCAATGTGTCTGCAGCTGACCAAATATTCACAAAACGCTGTGCAATGATATCGCATACCTGTGCGTGTGTACTCCGCAGTCTCCAATGTGTATCACTCGTGGACTCTTCGTGAAAATGACTCGAAACCTTTGTGGAAGACATTTCGCAGACACTTGCATCAGTGACCAGTCCCAATTGTAGTCATCCCATTTACAGAACATATCCGAGCATCCCTTGATCTTTTTCCACGTATTCTTTTGAAGAGCCATCCCCATGTTATGCTTACTGCTGTACCACGGATGAACACCAAGATGAGAAATGTCTTGACCATACTTATTCGTAGATTTGAGGTAGAAACCAAGCGAGATGATCTCACAATTGGCACAATACTTTGGCCTGTTGGAAACAATGATATCGAGTACATGAAGAGCATCCGGAGCAAGCATATGATCTTCTTCGAGTAGTAACACCCATGGATCATTCATTGCAAATTTGTCGACGATTCCATCAAATACAAAATTCATTTTCCACCACCAATGATGCTTGATTTGTGTTAGCTGAGCGACTCGATAGTTACCATATTTATCCGGATAACTCCAATTCGAGCAGTTTGTTTCTTGAGCTTTGTCTCGTTTCATTTTCTCTGGACAATCAGATGGTGATTGACCGGGAAACACCAACGGGAACAACTGCAGATTGTATGGATAGAATATTTGGTAGACACGGGCGAATGTGATGTTCCGGATCAGCTCATTATTGATTCCGACGTTGATGTCATGAGAGAAAACGAGCAACGCCTCTTCGATTCCCTTTGTGTTACGCATCGATTCGATAAGATACTGGAGATAAACAGGACGATCATGAACCTAAAACTGAGAATATTTGCATATAAATTCAGGAGTAGACCTACCTGAATGACAAGAATCGTTTTGACACTGCTCAAATCTCCAAATTTCGCTGTATTCAGAATGTCGAAATTTTCGTTGAGATAACTGACCGATTCAACGATGTCAGCTCCGGTGAGTGCCTTCCCTTCGGTAACTGGAAAGTTTTTTTTTAAATTAATTAGGCTGGTACAAAAAATTAGAGCTGTGGAAGAGAATAGCTGGCGAAGGTTCCACAACGATAACTACAGTAACCTAAGTATATTTTTTTCAAGATTCATTTTCTCTTTTTTTACTGATTTTTGTCGATTATTTTGTTATTTTCTCTTGAAACAGGTCGAAAATGAGCATTTTTGATAGCAAAAAGCTGAAAACGCACGTGAATCGAGAAAAAAGAAATTCAGAGAATAAATATATTTTTAGGTTACTGTAGTTGTTGTTGTAAGACCTTCGGTCACCGTTCCATTTCCACAGCTTCAATTTTTGCACCAGAATAATTGAGCTTTGCTTTTTTTTTTAAACTAACGTTTGAAATCCCACCCACTCCAATCGGTTCTGTCTGATGTTCTACTTGAATCGTTTTCCAATAAGTCTGACACTTCTTTGTTCAATCCTTCCCAATCGTTTGAAGACCATCCGGGATTTTGAGAGAGTATCGGCACTCCATCCCGTAATTGTTGTTCCTCTACCGGTGCTTTTAGAAATATGACGATGAAACCGAACTGAAAACATATATTTTAGATAAAAAATACATAGAGCTGATTCTAATTCAAGGAACATTTTTCGCGAATTCAGTTGTTTAATTGTTCTTATCTAATTGTTTAGATAAGAAAAATCATGCTTTTAGTTTCTTATCAGTCCAGACCGAGTAGCCGGAATTATTTCTTCAGCCTGCTGTTCAAGATTTATGTTAAAATACTCACCAAGCAGCACACTATCACAGCATTCGCCAATCTGTGTATCCGTCGATAGACCATCATATTCAGCCGATGACTTCACGACCGGCGAATCTGCCGTTGTGGTCAAGGACCGATTTAGATGATGCTCAGATCGGAGTTCTCTGCAATGATTTGGTTAATTAGCGTTTTTTAACGACCATAACCAAATTCTAAACGTAAAAGAATATATATAATTGGGTCAATTTAAAGATGAAAAAGACGAAAACGGCCGTTGTGATGATGGCAATAAATAACAAGATATAATGAGGCGAAAATAATTGCAATATCGTAGAAATAAGAAGAAATAGTTATACAACATTCAGGAATCGCAAACATGAAGATGATAGAGAATATGAAAACCAGTCTCAAATGTGTCACATTTATAAAAATCAAATCTGAGCATATTGCATACGATTGTGGCTTGTCCAAATTCAAATTTCCCATCTTTCTGTGGTCCTTCTTGTTTTCTTCTACGGCCATGTGGCCGGCGGTCTTAGATTTTCTCGTCCAATGCTTTTCGCGAGCTGGAGCAAGAAAAAATTGAGTCACCTTGTTGTTAATCTGAGTGCATTTCAAACATAAACGTTGCTTCGTTTTCTGTCTAGGGAATCATACGTTTTGATGCGACAGTAAAAACGGCTAATCTAACTGAATTCGAATCGGACAACGATCGAATAAAAAGCGAAAACCAAACGAGAGTACGCCGACGACGACAGGAAGAATTTAGGGGGAGAAACGGAAGGAAGCGGTGGAGACTGCGTAGAAAAAAAAGAATGTATTTTCTGTTTCATTTCGTTTCGTTTCGGTACCCAAGGCGTGAATGTTGGAAGAAAAAAGAGCAGAGAAGAGATGTTTTTGAGGATGGAAGCTCGAGAAGAAAGGCACCAATTAAAAAGTGGCAACGACGTTTGCTCTTTTTCGTTTCGTTTTTTTTTTCTTGAGACAAATTAGAACGAAAATGGTATGAGAAGTCGTCATTGTCGCACTGCATAAGAGACGAGGAAGAGAAAAAATAAACCACGATCCGCATCGTCCTATAAAGCGGAAGAAATAGAGAGACAGCTGCCCTAAGCCCGATCGACCTCGGTCTCCCCTTCTTTTTCTCGTAAATCGACACTGCGGGCTTGTTTGTAAACTAAACCATCGAAAGTCTAGCTGTGTTGGTGGTGGCGGTGGTAAACGATGAGAGAAACCAACCTCGATGGGTGGGAAAAATAATAAGACACACCGGCGACGTATTTTTCTGATTGATTTGTGTCTCTCTTTGAATCGTCGTGAAGACAATTCTTGTGCATTTCGAATGACTTGAGCAGGCAAGGAACAGGTGAGAAATAATATTCAGGAGAACGACAAAAATGTCTAAATGGATACGTTTTATATATCGTAGTGGATTCTGTTGAAATCACATTTTTGTAGACATATTCCACAGAGCAGAACAATCGAGAACAAATTTTAATAAATGTAGGCTCGAGCATGAACCAGTGAAACTAAGCTCAATGTTTCCAGGTGACGAGGAACTCTTCAACTCGTCGGGAACAAAAACTAGTCAAACTTTACGTTTCTCTTGCACAGCTGCTACTATTGTTCTCATGAAATCAAAATTGGTGTCCCATGGGGGCGGCAACTAGAGTCGCCTTTCTTGGAAAGCTTTCACTCAAATTCGTTATTGTTCAACTAGTGAAGCGAAAACTGGGAGCAAGGAATAGGCTGGAAAAAATTTAAAATCACGAAGCATCTGTCTCGAACACAGCGAATTTGGAACCTAGATAGGAATAAGGAAACAAGCAAACTTCACATCTTTTCAGAAAACTTGAGCCCAAAATATTTGTAGAATCAGAAAATTGTATGTAAACTATTTGTAAACAGAACACAATGTAACGCATCTTGGCATCATCAAAACTTCTTCAAGAAGAAGTGAAGAGGCACATTGTTTTCGCTCAGAAAATGAGAACACAAATGTTCTTTTCTATACGCTCAACAAGCCTGTTGAGATATTTTGTTTTTCCCTATTCAACGACGACTACGATATATCTTTCTAGTCGAGATTATGTGAGGAGATATTTAGAACCCGAATCCGCATGAAAATTTATAGTGGAATGAATTTTTGGTGAAAACGAGATCAAGAGATATTTTTCAAAATAGTTGAGTGGTCTACAGAGTGGAGAATAAAGGGAAGAGGATCGGACAGTCTGACAACGGAACGAAAGTGTTAAAATCTTTCAAAGTATTTCTTTCGAATTTCAAACATTCTCTAGAAGTAGGGTTTCCTAAATGTTATGAAGCTCTAAATGTGAAATGGAGGTCAGGCCAATACAAAAAGGCTTCAACTTCTGCGGGCAGCCGTTTAAAATTTCAATTCAACATGCACACGAAAATTTTTTCGCCGAAAATGTTCGAATAAGCTCAATTTACGCAAACTCAGGGCGGCTCTTTACTTTTTCTCTCACCCATTGAATATGTATGCAAATTCGGGAGTGCAAGAGAAACGAAGCACGAAGACGAAAAGGAGACGACGGATTAGACGATATGGAGGCCAGAAGGGAAAGATATGGGGAGTGAATAAGGGAACATAGACTAATAACCAAAAGGGAACTTCAAGTAAAACAAGAGAAGAAAATGAAAGTTGGTTCCTTGATGAAGTCCAACTTCGAGTCGGTTTATGTTGCGAATGCAGCCATCAACGATGTGAGGAAGTATCGAATTACAATGGAGAACCACACCAATTTTCTTATTCTCTTATTTTGCTTATTTCTAACAGGAAAGACAGAATTGTATTACACTCTGCAGATAAAATAGCAAAATCAAACGGTAAACTATTGTTGGAATTACAAAACGCTGTCGCATTTTTGCGCTTAGTCTGCAGGTGACAGTTTTATAATAATTCCGACAATCCTGAACCTGAAACAACGAAACACTTAGAAACAATTTTTGGTTACAAAAAACGCATGAAAAATAGGAAAAAAAAAACAAGCCAACAAGATACAAAAGAGAAGCGTCATGCCGCGGCAGGACTAAAACAAAAACTACTTGATGTGCCCCTTTAAAGATTACTGTAGTTTTTTGAAAATTCCGAAAAATTTAAAACAATTTTCTGTTTTGACCTGAATCAAAATTGAAAAAAAGAGAGCTCATAAATATTTTTGGAACACCTTTTGCCAATATTTCCTAAAATTGAATCAGACAAACCACAATAAAATCAGGATTATATTCTTGTTAGTCATCAGAAATGTATAAGGGAATTCAATAGCATTCGTCGTCCAATGACACACTAAAGAAAGTAAAAAAGTAACCATAGCCTATGGTCCATAGGAAGAAGGAAATGGGAAGAAACAGATAATTGAATAAGATAGAAACGAAGCAGACATTAGTGAGAGGACGACAAAGGGCGACGATGGCTAAGAATGGCTGTTTTCGAATGTTTTTTAAAAACACTTTAGGAGGAAAATAGACACGGAAGCCATTTAAAAAGAGAAAAGAGGGTGGAATATTTAGAGGACGTCACACCTACTGAGACATTCAAAGTGCAATAGAAAAAAGAAACTTCGGTGTGTATGTGTTTTAATCTCGTTTGGAAGCTATGAACTGTGAACGAAAAAAAATCTATGAATCAAAAAAAAATCTAGTAAAAGTAGAGAAAAACTAAACAGTGTCAGTGTTTTCAAACGAGACCGATTCGTTAAATAACAACACCTTTCGTAATCTACTGAAAAAGAGTAGATGATCCGCTTAGTGAGATCATCACTCTGATTTTGGAAACTTCAGCTGTTCCAGCAAACGAAAACATGCACGGAAAAAGAAGGATGCGGCGGAACATATAAAAAAATTCCGGAATATTCCGAGGAATAAAACTAATAAAAAAGTGTGAAATATTGAAAATCGTGAAGATTTTTCTAATAAAGGAGATATTTTTAAAACCATGAGCCCAGAACAAAACATGATAGACGAGAAGACATTGCTCAGTTGGTGCCTATTGAATAGTCTATTCAATAGAAGACATCACTGACAAAACCAGTTCTCAGCGCGGTATTGCTAACCAACCACAGACCAACAACCATTGTCTCCGTGGTCGTAAAAAAGGCACTTCCAGAAAAACGAAGAAAAAAACTAATTCATGAATCGTTTATTTTTCTTTTCAAGAATACAAGATGGTCCTACAAGGATTGTGTACACGTTTACCTTCAGGGCGGACAGACATCTGGTACTCGAGCACAAAGTGCCGCATTACTCATTCCGTAGTTCTGCACACCTGTTTCACATTGAGTTGCATACATTTTTCCATTTTCTGGACTTGTATTGTTAGTGACCATTATGCCAACACATCCATGTGGTTGGGAGCTTACTCTGGAAATATAATAGATTAAGTTGGAATACAGTACATAGTTCATTTACAACACGGGTTGTCCAGAAGCCCACAAGTTGTAATGTTGAATGATGGAAACGTATTTTGTGTTGTCATCATCCACGAATTCGTATGCCTGAAAAGGAAAAATTTAAAAATTCAGAAAACAAATTTCCGATACCTTGAAGGAAGTGCAAGACTCATTGTTGGTTGAGGTTTGTGTCAAACATATAACTTTTCTTTTCAATGCAATCGTCACCAGAATCTGACTGTTGTTGCTGGTCGTATAGTTCACAGAATCTTTCGCTAGTTGAACGACAAAGTTGTATTCAGTGATATTCTCGATTCCCGACAAGTATCCGCCATTTGATTGACAAAGAGCAACCGATTGATCGTAAGTTTGATTGTATTGATTGATAACTTTGAAACAATATGGGCGAGCGGTCGTTCGGTTAAATGGAGTCCATCCCTCTGCACATTTCAATTGGCTTTTGGTACACACTTCTGAAATATTATTTGGGATACTTTCCAAATATCTGAAACAAACTCTCAGTGGTGGTAGATACGGTAGTGGTCGTTGGAACTGTTGGAGTTGCAGTGGTTACTGTAGTTGTTGAAGGAGTTGTTGTTGGAGTCACTGTTGTTGATGATGATCCAACACAAACAGCAGGGTGTCCACATACGAGAAGTTTCAGAACAACTTGATATGCAGACATTGCTTCATCACAACTAGAAAACAATACTTGAATTCTTGAATTCCATATATTTTTTCACCTCAGAGACCAAAGAAGTTCATCAGATCTTTTAGAAGGATCGATCCACACTCTGATTCCAACGCATTCTTCTGGTTGGTCTGGATCCCTGTAAAAAAATTATATTCAAATATCTCAAGCTGGAAATCACATACACCACTGGTTGCACAGGTATAGTTGATTTAAATTTGTTTGCGAAAATGTAGTTTGAAGTGGTCACACCGTCGGTGAAATAATAGGCCTGAAATGTATTATCTACATTTTTCAATGTCCAAAAAACTCACATTTGCTGGATTACAGTTTTCATCTCGCAAACATTCCTGTGTTCGCTTAGCTCCCAGAACCATCATAACTGATACATAATTTCCGTTTGCCAGGGATTTCACAATAGCTGAATCGGTTTTGGTTTGGTCTGAAACCATTATCTTTTCAATTTTCTTCGATCTATTCTCTTAATTTAGTTTACCTAGAAGCCAGTTATACTCTGTTTCATCTGCTGGACCAGTTAGTACGGAGTGATAGTTAGTTTGACAGTAATCGGATCCTTCTGTGAAGTTCTGCACAAAGTGGAAGAAAGGTCTCATACACCACATTTTTCCATTTCTCAACACTGGATGGAAACCAAATTTACACACTTTTACGGGACATTCAGTTGTTGTTGGACTCGATGTGGATGTGGATGATGGTACTGTTGCAGTGGAAGTGGACGAAACAGTTGATGAAGCTGTTGAAGTTGATGGAGCCATAGATGTGGATGAAGTTTCAGATGTACTAGACGCAGACGTTGTCGTTCCAATAGAAGTTGAGATAGTTGTTGGAGGAGTAGATGGACATGTTCCAATCTTTCCACAGACGACCATCCTAGATTGCTTACCATTACTTCTCAAAGCAGTATTGCAATCAAGGGAATACACTTTGTTTTGGGAATTCGACGTACTGTCTGTTATAAATTGTATTCCAGCACAAGCACGTACAAGTGATGGAGAAGTTTCAACGCCTGCATCACTGTTGAAGTTCTGATTTATCAAAGTGTTTGAGGTACTTCCCAAACCATCCTGCCAGATGAAACCTTGGGGTAGTTGACAAGCTGGAGTTTGAGCACCATTATCGCTTGTACATTGTGGTGTTCGTTTCAATCCGATCAGAATCATTGCTCTGTTGTAAGATGTCATGTTGGTAACAACATCTGGGTTTAGGCGCGCTTGACTCATGATCTCGTCGTATTCGGGATTGGTATCAGGTCCGGTCAGGAAGGCTTGATAATTGTCGTAGCAGAAGAATGCTCCATCATCATAACTCGAAGTGTCATGGTAGAAGAGCTGAAATTCAAAGACAATACGAAAAATTGAAAAAGAATGGGCTATCCGTTTTTGATTTGCCGGAAAGAAATTTCACATGAGCCCCATGTGTTTCGAATTGAAATTTAGAAAACCTGAATAAATGATTTGATATTCTTCCTAATTAACAGTTGTTCGATGTGCCATGGCCTTTGAAAACACATGATTTCTTAAAACATGGCACAGTGATAACTCCAGTCAAGATCAAATCAGTTACACAGTTTATCTCAAAGTTGTATGTAACCCGAGAACCAGATGAAAACTTACTCTCATGCAAAGAGTTTTTCCTCCACGTTGAGTCTTGAACCAGCCACTTCCACAAACTGTACTGATACATCCTCCAGTTGTTGTTGACTGAATTGTTGTCGATGTGGATGGAGCCTGAGTTGATGTTGATGTTGGTGCCTCAGTAGTTGAGCTGGATGGTACTTGTGTGGTTGAAGACGATGGAGGCACAGAAGTTGAGGTGGATGGTTCTGCCGTTGTGCTTGACGACGGTGCTTCAGAGGTGGAGGTGGATGGTTCTTGTGTGGTTGAAGATGTTGGAAACTCGGAGGTTGAAGTGGATGGTTTTTCCGTAGTCGTCGAAGTCAGTAATTCGGTGGTAGAAGTGGATGGAATTCGAGTAGAAGTAGACGGAACAGTCGATGTTTCAGATGTACTAGACGCAGACGTTGTCGTTCCAATAGAAGTCGAGATAGTTGTTGGAGGAGTAGATGGACATGTTCCAATCTTTCCACAGACGACCATCCTAGATTGCTTACCATTACTTCTCAAAGCAGTATTGCAATCAAGGGAATACACTTTGTTTTGGGAATTCGACGTACTGTCTGTTATAAATTGTATTCCAGCACAAGCACGTACATGTGATGGAGAAGTTTCAACGCCAGCATCACTGTTGAAGTTCTGATTGATCAAAGTGTTTGAAGTACTTCCCAAACCATCCTGCCAGATGAAACCCTGGGGTAGTTGACAAGCTGGAGTTTGAGCTCCATTATCGCTGGTACATTGTAGTGTTCGTTTCAATCCGATCAGAATCATGGCTCTGTTGTAAGATGTCATGTTGCCAACAACATCTGAGTTTGATCGTGCTTGACTCATAATCTCGTCGTATTCGGGATTGCTATCAGGTCCGGTCAGGAAGGCTTGATAATTGTCGTAGCAGAAGAATGCTCCATCATGATAACTCGAAGTGTCATGGTAGAAGAGCTGAAATTCAAAGAAGATTAATTACGTAGGACGATCGGTTGTTGATTTGCTGAAGAAAAGTCACACGAATTCCATATTTTTAGCCATATTTTTCATTCTTTTAAACTCGATAAAATCGGGACTTTTTACTAACCTCCAAACAAATGATTTGATATTGTTATAGGCAGAATTAATGATCAGTTGTTTGTTGTTTGGCTTTTAAAAGTTCATAGTTTCTCTATTTGAATCTTTAATTATCGGACAGCAACTCAATGAAACTAAGAGTGACGTAGTTCTATTGAACACCTTTTACAGTGCTAACTCTAGTCAAGATCTAATCAGCCACACAGCTTCCATATCTTTTTAAACTTTTATGTAAGACGAGAGCCAGATAAACAACTTACTCTCATACAAAGAGTTTTTCCTCCACGTTGAGTCTTGAACCAGCCACTTCCACAAACTGTACTGAGACATCCTCCAGTTGTTGTTGACTGAATTGTTGTCGATGTGGATGGAGCCTGAGTTGATGTTGATGTTGGTGCCTCAGTAGTAGAGGTGGATGGTTCTGTCGTTGTGCTTGATGACGGTACTGCAGTAGTAGAACTGGATGGTTCTGCTGTGGTTGAAGACGACGGAGGCACCGATGTTGATGTGGATGGTTCTTGGGTTGTAGTAGATGATGGAGACTCAGATGTTGAAGTGGATGGTTTTTCTGTTGTGCTCGACGACGGTATTTCAGTAGTAGAAGTAGACGGAACAGTCGACGATTCGGTTGTACTGGACCCAACTGTTGAAGTTCCAACAGAAGTCGACACAGTTGTTGGACTGGATGGTTCGGCTGTCGTGCTCGATGATGGTACTTCAGTAGTTGAGCTGGATGGTTCTGCTGTCGTGCTCGACGATGGTACTTCGGTAGTTGAACTGGATGGTTCTGCTGTCGTGCTCGATGACGGTACTTCAGTAGTCGAGCTGGATGATTCTGCTGTCGTGCTCGAGGAAGGTACTTCAGTAGTTGAACTGGATGGTTCTGCTGCCGTTCTCGATGACGGTACTTCAGTAGTTGAGCTGGATGGTTCTGCTGTCGTGCTCGACGATGGTACTTCGGTAGTTGAGCTGGATGGTTCTGCTGTCGTGCTCGACGATGGTACTTCGGTAGTTGAGCTGGATGGTTCGGCTGTCGTGCTCGATGAAGGTACTTCACTGGTTGAACTGGATGGTTCGGCTGTCGTGCTCGACGATGGTACTTCGGTAGTTGAGCTGGATGGTTCTGTCGTGCTCGATGAAGGTACTTCACTGGTTGAACTGGATGGTTCGGCTGTCGTGCTCGATGATGGTACTTCACTAGTTGAGCTGGATGGTTCTGCTGTCGTGCTCGACGATGGTACTTCGGTAGTTGAGCTGGATGGTTCTGCTGTCGTGCTCGATGACGGTACTTCAGTAGTCGAGCTGGATGGTTCTGCTGTCGTGCTCGACGATGGTACTTCGGTAGTTGAGCTGGATGGTTCTGCTGTCGTGCTCGACGATGGTACTTCGGTAGTTGAGCTGGATGGTTCTGCTTTCGTGCTCGACGATGGTACTTCGGTAGTTGAGCTGGATGGTTCTGCTGTCGTGCTCGATGACGGTACTTCAGTAGTTGAGCTGGATGGTTCTGCTGTCGTGCTCGACGATGGTACTTCAGTAGTTGAGCTGGATGGTTCTGCTGTCGTGCTCGACGATGGTACTTCGGTAGTTGAGCTGGATGGTTCTGCTGTCGTGCTCGACGATGGTACTTCGGTAGTTGAGCTGGATGGTTCTGCTGTCGTGCTCGATGAAGGTACTTCACTGGTTGAACTGGATGGTTCGGCTGTCGTGCTCGACGATGGTACTTCGGTAGTTGAGCTGGATGGTTCGGCTGTCGTGCTCGATGAAGGTACTTCACTGGTTGAACTGGATGGTTCGGCTGTCGTGCTCGATGATGGTACTTCACTAGTTGAGCTGGATGGTTCTGCTGTCGTGCTCGAGGAAGGTACTTCAGTAGTTGAACTGGATGGTTCTGCTGTCGTGCTCGATGACGGTACTTCAGTAGTTGAGCTGGATGGTTCTGCTGTCGTGCTCGACGATGGTACTTCAGTAGTTGAGCTGGATGGTTCTGCTGTCGTGCTCGACGATGGTACTTCGGTAGTTGAGCTGGATGGTTCTGCTGTCGTGCTCGACGATGGTACTTCGGTAGTTGAGCTGGATGGTTCTGCTGTCGTGCTCGATGACGGTACTTCAGTAGTTGAGCTGGATGGTTCTGCTGTCGTGCTCGACGATGGTACTTCAGTAGTTGAGCTGGATGGTTCTGCTGTCGTGCTCGACGATGGTACTTCGGTAGTTGAGCTGGATGGTTCTGCTGTCGTGCTCGACGATGGTACTTCGGTAGTTGAGCTGGATGGTTCTGCTGTCGTGCTCGATGACGGTACTTCGGTAGTTGAGCTGGATGGTTCTGCTGTCGTGCTCGACGATGGTACTTCGGTAGTTGAGCTTGATGGTTCTGCTGTCGTGCTCGATGACGGTACTTCAGTAGTTGAGCTGGATGGTTCTGCTGTCGTGCTCGACGATGGTACTTCGGTAGTTGAGCTTGATGGTTCTGCTGTCGTGCTCGATGACGGTACTTCAGTAGTTGAGCTGGATGGTTCTGCTGTCGTGCTCGACGATGGTACTTCGGTAGTTGAGCTTGATGGTTCTGCTGTCGTGCTCGACGATGGTACTTCGGTAGTTGAGCTGGATGGTTCTGCTGTCGTGCTCGACGATGGTACTTCGGTAGTTGAGCTTGATGGTTCTGCTGTCGTGCTCGACGATGGTACTTCGGTAGTTGAGCTGGATGGTTCTGCTGTCGTGCTCGACGATGGTACTTCGGTAGTTGAGCTGGATGGTTCTGCTTTCGTGCTCGACGATGGTACTTCGGTAGTTGAGCTGGATGGTTCTGCTGTCGTGCTCGATGACGGTACTTCAGTAGTTGAGCTGGATGGTTCTGCTGTCGTGCTCGACGATGGTACTTCAGTAGTTGAGCTGGATGGTTCTGCTGTCGTGCTCGACGATGGTACTTCGGTAGTTGAGCTGGATGGCTCTGCTGTCGTGCTCGATGACGGTACTTCGGTAGTTGAGCTGGATGGTTCTGCTGTCGTGCTCGACGATGGTACTTCGGTAGTTGAGCTTGATGGTTCTGCTGTCGTGCTCGATGACGGTACTTCAGTAGTTGAGCTGGATGGTTCTGCTGTCGTGCTCGACGATGGTACTTCGGTAGTTGAGTTTGATGGTTCTGCTGTCGTGCTCGATGACGGTACTTCAGTAGTTGAGCTGGATGGTTCTGCTGTCGTGCTCGACGATGGTACTTCGGTAGTTGAGCTTGATGGTTCTGCTGTCGTGCTCGATGACGGTACTTCGGTAGTTGAGCTGGATGGTTCTGCTGTCGTGCTCGACGATGGTACTTCGGTAGTTGAGCTTGATGGTTCTGCTGTCGTGCTCGATGACGGTACTTCGGTAGTTGAGCTGGATGGTTCTGCTGTCGTGCTCGACGATGGTACTTCAGTAGTTGAGCTGGATGGTTCTGCTGTCGTGCTCGACGATGGTACTTCGGTAGTTGAGCTGGATGGTTCTGCTGTCGTGCTCGACGATGGTACTTCGGTAGTTGAGCTGGATGGTTCGGCTGTCGTGCTCGATGACGGTACTTCAGTAGTTGAGCTGGATGGTTCTGCTGTCGTGCTCGATGACGGTACTTCAGTAGTTGAGCTGGATGGTTCTGCTGTCGTGCTCGATGACGACACTTCAGTAGTTGAACTGGATGGTTCGGCTGTCGTGCTCGATGATGGTACTTCAGTAGTTGAACTGGATGGTTCGGCTGTCGTGCTCGATGACGGTACTTCAGTAGTTGAACTGGATGGTTCGGCTGTCGTGCTCGATGATGGTACTTCACTAGTTGAGCTGGATGGTTCTGCTGTCGTGCTCGAGGAAGGTACTTCAGTAGTTGAACTGGATGGTTCTGCTGTCGTGCTCGATGACGGTACTTCAGTAGTTGAGCTGGATGGTTCTGCTGTCGTGCTCGAGGAAGGTACTTCAGTAGTTGAACTGGATGGTTCTGCTGTCGTGCTCGATGACGGTACTTCAGTAGTTGAACTGGATGGTTCTGCTGTCGTGCTCGACGATGGTACTTCGGTAGTTG